CCTTTTCTATGTCACCTAAGGTTCCCTGGGTCATTGATCCGATTCAGTCCAGCCAGTAGAGGTTTATACCCATTATGGCTAAGGTAATGCATTTGGGTCTCTAATTCAGAGATTTGATTGCTAGTCCTGACTCCCCATAATCAACTGTGACTTTAGAAGAGTTGCTTGACATTTCTTAGTGCCACATTTGTTCCATCTGTAAAATGGTACAATAACCTACAAGGCTATAGTAATGACTACACATGTCTTCATGTGCTAAAATAAAGGAAAACGTTGAAAAAACAAGCAATTCCCTCAAACAATAACAACAACAAACCCAAATATATTATTATAGGGTACTATTACAGTGTTTCATACATAATCAACACAGCAGAAGTGTTGCCATAACCCTGCTTATTATTTCTAGCTTTATTAATTTGTATATTCATCTATCTATTCACTATTTATTTTGTTACACACCTACCACATACCATATAAGATATACCAAAATTAAAAGGTGGGGAAAGCTGGATGGTACTAAGAAGTAGGGGTGATTGCTGCATTTTAATGTTTAAGGGCATCCAACCTTCTCCACAAAAGTACCCTTCACCACAAAATCACTCAGGACCAGAATCAGACATATTTTTCTACCAAACTCAGCCCTACCCTTCATTAGCTGGAAGATCTTAGGCAAGTTTCACAGCTACTCTGTGTCGCATTTCCCATATGTGTAAAATGAAGACACTGTTACAGCTTACCAGGTAGACTGGTTGTGAGGAAGAGATGAGCCTGTGAAAAATTGTCCGGAGACCAGAGAGGAGTAATTATTAACTTACATTGAATATCTGATATGAGTATATCCTGGTTACAATTGTTCACTCATTCATCCAACAGATACCTACTCAGTGTCTGCTATGTTCTAGCTCTTAGAACATTTGAGATGCTCACTCTGCCTTACTCTCCCATACTGCTGCCTTTTAGGTAGATAAACTTTATTAACCCTGGTAGAAGTGTAACCCAATTCGGTAGTGGTGGTAGTGAAAGAAATCTTTAAAATGTTGAGTAGAATGATGCAGTTTTATCCTTGACTTTTAGACACGGTAGCCACATTTGTGACTGTTGCCTTTCTCTGTTTTTAAATGAGTCACAAGTCCATACGGATTCATAAGGAGGACCATCTAGACTCCACCTTTGTGTGAGGTGATTGACAAAATTTTGGACCATATTTTTAAAAAAATGCTATACTACTAAAAAATGCTATACTACTAATAACTAATGCTAATTGTCTCAAATGAGCTGTTTGAATGGTTTGCTGAACTGTGTTAATAACTATCAATCTTACTGAGCATTTTGGCCCATTAATTGGTTCATGCAGACAACCTTATTTCTGGAGTCTTGGCGTCCCTTCCTTTGATTGCTTCTCTGTCCCTCCTGTCAGCCACTGGACTCCATGTTGTTTTATCAGTTGTGCAACATTTTCCAGAAAAGGGGCAGATATTTCTTCTATTGTAAAATTAACTTCTATTAAGACATAAAACTTGGTAGTATCATAACATTCTGCTGCTGAAGCAAGTTTTCCATTGAGCCCAGGAATGTAAGGTTTCAATGTCACTCATAATTTAAAAACTAACTGTGAGATGTACTTCTGAATTCTCAGATGGGTTTCTGGACCTCAGATAGTAACGTGGTATTAAACTACAAAAATTAATTGCTTTCCCATTGTTGCTCCCTGCTGATATGGTTTATTTTAAATTCTGCTGAACCCAGAGAGGAGAAGCTGTACTATAATTCAGAAACTGACATGTGCTCTTTTGCTGACATCTCTCACAGATGCACATCATACACAGATGCTCAACATCTCACAGATGCTCAACATACAAATGCTTCTATGATTGAGGATTTGAGTTACTATGCATAAGTGAATTTTGTGAGCAATTGAAGTTCACCATTTTGTGTGTGAAGTTTTAGAAAATGTCGGTTTTTTTCTGGAATAAAATCTGTCTAATGTATTTCACTCATTTCTCTCTCTCTCTCTCTCTCTCTCTCTCTCTCTCACTGTCTCTCTTTAGATGTATGATGATCAAACATTTTGTTGTGCTTGGCATTTTCCTTGTACGAGCACTAAAAGTTCTATGTCCTGCGAAAGCTCCCAATCTTAGACAAACCAAAGAATCACCAATGGAGATCTCATCTTATTAAAAAGCTTTTGCACAGCAAGAGAAACCATCAACAGAGTGAAGAGACAACCCACGGTGTGGGAAGAAACTTTTGTCAGCTGTTCCTCAAACAAAGGAGTACTATCTAGAATATGTAAAGAAATCAAAATAATCAGACTCCCCAACTTTAAAGACCCAAGCCAATAACAGTTGTCTGAAATGAATGGACACTTCTGAGATGAAGAACTAGACATGGAAAATAAATGTATGAAACAACATTCAACATCATAGGTCATTTGTGTCAACAGACACAAATTAAGACAATGCTGAGATTCTATCTCACTTTAGAAATAAAGGCTATTATCAAGAAATTAACCAGTAACAAATGTTGGCATGACTGTAGGAAAAAGCAACCCCTCTTTACTGTTGGTACCCCTCTTTACTGTTGGTGTTCACTGTGCAAATAAGTGTGGAGAATCCTCAAAAAACTAGGTTTGGAGGTCCCATTCCATCCAACTATTCCCCTTCTGGGTATTTTCCCAGATAAATTAAAATCATCATACCATAGCAATGTATGTTTATAGCAGCACAAGGTGTAATAGCTAATATCATAGCAGAAATTTATGAATTTTAACTCACATTTCATTTCTTGGCACTTCAGTAAAAGGTTTTCATAAATTAGTCCCATCTACTCTTGGATAAATAGTATATAATCTATATTTATAATTCTTTTTGGCAGCCTAGCTATCAAGAGCCCATCCTAAAAGCACCTCAACATTTTTAGGGGAGATATACCTCTCCACTCTTGTTCATTTGAACATTTAATGATTTCCAAGACTTTGGTATCTGGGCTCTTAGCTCTATCAACTTTCTGGCAGAAAATCAAATTTTATTGTTAAGGAAATAAAGTGAATCATTTCATGCCTAAAAGGAGAAATTGTAAAATTTGTGTGAGCTCCACTACTGACCCTAAGACTTTCAAATGTACACACAGGCCTAAGTTTGCTATGCAAACACAACCTCCAGACGAGCCTCAATTTTCCATCTAATCATATTTCAAACCCGTCACACAGAAATTTTTATGTCACACATAAAGTTTTAAGCTTGAGCCTTTTTTATTTTAATTTTTTTATTTTCTTAGAACATAGTTCATGCAGTTTACAGTCATCTTAAGGAGTCATTACTTGTGTGTAATACAACTTGTTCCTTTTTGTAAATCCCCTTTCTTTTGGTGATCCCTCCTTCAATTCCTTTATCCCATTTTCCATTCTTGTTGGTGTTGTTAATCTTAGCACACGTTACAGCACATAATGTTTACATTAATTGAGGTTAAGTTCTCATATATGGCATAACTTTATTCCACTTTTTTCTCCTCGCCCTCCTCCTCACCCCTGATGCTTTTCCTCTTAGACCACTTACCTTTTGTAAGAGATCCATTTCCTTGTCCCCTTGTACCCATCTAGTGGTATAACCAGCAATAATAATAGCATGGAAACAGCCTAGAAAATGACAAACTGTGATAAATTTAATTTGATGCTTTTAACTTTATGAAATAGATTTGGATTACATAACAAAACCTAAAACCATCAGAGTGATTTATGAACATAATTTTTTCTACAAAAAATATAAAATTACCAATAATGTTGACATTTCATTTGACCATTTCACCCAAACTAAACTGGTTCTTTCCCCAATATTCTGTGCCCAACACACAGACATAGTTCAAATGATGATTAGTTGACCTGCACTGGAGGAATCCAGAATGGAAATTGAGGCTTAATGGGCAGGCAGGCTTTGAACGTTTACTCTGGCACTTGTTTGGCCATAACACAAATGAGTCTTGTGAGTTATAGTGAGGGAGATTACTCCCTGGCGCCCCAACTTGGCCAGGCACCCTCTCTCTGCATTTCTAGCTCAGCTCCACAAAATCTTTTGATTCATCACTAATTGCCAAGCAGTGCTACACAGAAGAGTTGGTATAAACTCTGACCTTCTAGGGGATGGTTCCATACTGTCAAATTTGTGCCTTCCATGGATTAAATAGGATTTTGCTGCAATAGATTACTTCTCCAGATCTCTTGATGTTCCTTAGAGAAGGACAAAAGACTACTAATTTACACTAAAATGACTTCTCTCCCTAAATGAAAAAGTAGGGAAAGAAGATGAAATAGTCTTACTTAAAACCATAAGGTATAGACTGATGTGAACAGATGATGTAAATTGGAATGGACAATGGAACAAGGACAGAGAAGTCAGATACAGACTAAATTAAGCAGGTAGCTTTGACTCTCTTAGGTCTTGGTTCTTTATTAAGAGACTGTCAGAAAAAATGACTAAAACTTACTTTCATGGAAGGTGATGATGCAAGTTAAAGACTTGCCCTTGGTTAAGAAAGTGAAGTGAGACGGGACAATGGATGGCGAAGAATCAGATGGTTATGAGCTCTTTCTCAGAAGGACTTTGGACAAGTCACTTCTCTCTGCTTTTCAGGCCCATACTCTTGACATGAGTACACCAATGTGAGCCCAACCACAAGCATGTACAAATTTCTTTTCTTGAAGAGGCACAGACTGCTCATAGATGAAGACCAGCCCTGTAGAGGACCTTTCTCTCCCACTCTCAGTTCAGTTACTGACTTATTGGCAAATTCTTTCAATCATTGAATAGCTGTTTGTCCTGCTGGTTGGAATTTTATTTAAAATTCTTGTCTGGGGCATATGAAGTCAGTGGAAAAAAATGTAAGACACTTTCTTTGGTCTTTAATAAAGGGCCCCAAGAAAAAAGGCAATGTAGCTTGTGTTAATCATTAAATGTTGCCTTATGGCCAGTTCTGAACTTTCACTGTGGTTCACGTTTGGCCAGGACACAAACAAGTTAGGTGGGTTATATTCCGACATGACTGAGTTACCTGGGTAGTAGTGGCTGGCTGAGCTCAAACCAAATAACACAGTCATCGGTTCTTGGCAGAAACAGATCACTTAGAAAGCAAAGATAATTCCTCCTTTAAGTCACGACAAGGCAGAAGCAGAAAAAGGTACTGTTTGATTCAGAAAACTAAAGTGCTGTTCATCTTCTAGGTTTTACATCTCTTGCTAATTTTGGGTGGGCGAAAGGAAATGGGGGGTCTATAGCAAAAGCCTGGCTGCTTTGCTTTTCAAAGGTGGAAAGTGGGGAAAAGAAGGGGTAAGAAAGGAAGAGAAGGGAGAGAAGCAGCAGAGAAACGAGAAAAAAGAGGAGAAAGAAAATGGACTAAATGTACACTCATCTCCTGTGTGGCTGAGAAGTTTCTAGTTAAAAGAAAAAAGAGAGACTAAGTTTATCTTTAGGAAGAATTAGTGGATTGATTAATCCATACAAAGCAAAGTTACATTTATTATTGATTCGACTGCTCTATTTTAAGGGGAAAAAGATACTCTCAACACAGAGTTGTTAAAAATGTGTGAATATTTATTTTCATTGCCCTAAGTTCGAGAATATGTGCTAAAATGAAATGTGAATCATACAACTAGATCGAAAGTAAAGTCTTTTGTGCTTAGTATATTATTTTGTGTGGAAGAAGCAAGTCAGAGACTGTGCTTCTGGACTTATGTAGCGAACAGTTCTGAATACTCTTCTCTATGCAGTAGATGGATTTCTGAAAAATCAAATGTTTGCTAAGTTGAATTATATTCCAAAAAGAATTAAATTTTTGTAGAGATTTTTGCAATTTAAAGAACTCATGAATCTACTTGGAATTTGTAGAAGTCTTTTCATAAGTGCAATCAGCTTCCGTTCCTATCTCATTTGCTAATGTCCGGGGGCAGATACACCGATTGTTTGTTTTTCTAGATCCTAACACATTTGGTGAGCATACAGTGAATCTTTATATTGTTGAGTTAATGTGAGTGATTTTAAATTTTGGGCTATCTTATTCAGTGTATACCTGGATGATAAGTTTACTGCAAGTTTTTGGGAGCTAGTCTTTTTTTCTAAGTACATAGCAGGATTTTTGTCTTTTCAGAAATTGTGTAACTTTTACTACTATCAGTATTTTTTTAACTTTAAGTTAAATTTGTATGTAGTAAAACATGTATGCATTACATATCTTTATTTTTTGGAATTTCAGAAGACCTCAGAACAGTACTAAAAGGATTTTATGTTTACTGGGAGTGAAGAGCAGCTTAATCCCCTTCTTAAAGCAGGCACTAGGTGGGCATCACTGGAGCTGGTGACAAATGGGCATCAGAAGTGTCTTTAGCCAGGCTTCTGTGGTTTCTGCCTGTCCTACATGATCATAAAATCCGTTTTTCTCACTGGAGATAAAATCAGATTTATAGTATTTAAAATGCATCCATCAAGTAGAATTTACTGGGCATTGTGTGGGATCTTTGCACTGACTTACAGAGATAGAAGACTGGTATCTGGGTCTCCTCAAGGAAAGTACCCTCTGAAAAATGAATGATGGTCAGGCTCACAGGACGTGAGCTGGAAGTTTCTAAGGCAGGTCAAAGAACTGAAATGACAGGGGAAAGATTTGGGGGAGGAGGAAGGGCCAGGGGCTCATGGTGCCATGGAAACAATTGGGGGATACAGGAAGGGACTAGGGGGAGCCAATGATAGTATGTAAGAAAAAAGATAGTATTTTTTTGCTTTACTTTGTATAAAGCATCAAAGTCATGCTTCTCCAATCAACAGTGAAAATGTTTTGAGTGCCTAAGAAATTTTATAAGCATTGACTTCATTGGACACCATGACTGGCTGGGTGATCTCTCTGATGAGTATTGAAGTACTACTTTTGTCAGGTGAGTAGAATGTGTTTAAGTGGATTATAAATTAGACCTCATTGGGTTACCTTTCTTGCGAATTATTATTATTAATTAAAATATTTTGGTTGTGTACTATGAATATATATAAATGTAATTTTTATTTGGCAATTGAAAACATAAATCCAACATATTATTTTGAAAGGAAATATTGAAATAGGGGGCATCTAGATAAAAAATTTCTATTTAATAATTTTTTCTGATTAGTATTTTTATGAATATTATTAATATCATGTACTAAATAGTTGTGGATAGAAATGTCCACTTTTAACAGCCATTAGAGGTTACTGTGATAGTTCAAAGCTTTCAGTAATAATTTATAATCTTTCTTTTATAATTCCTTTTTGAGCTGTATGATGTAATTCTTTTTAGATTTTATCACCCAACCACCCTTAAGGGAGTAACTTATCATAGTGATTAATTACTGCTTGTGTTACAATTTCTTTTTATCAAAATCATGTCTACAGTTTTTGGTGAATTTAGTTATCCTCTGTATCTTCTTATGACATTTATCTTTGTCTCTGGCTGAGAACATCTAGTCATCTCTGAGGGACAAGGGTGGGCTGGCTGGGCTTGCCACGATGGTCATGCTGATGTGACTGCTGCCATCCCAGGTGTGACACGTGGCACCTCATGGCTGACTATACATGGGGCCCTGAGGTAGTCACAGGTGTGGATTATCCTTTAATTTTTATGCTATGGAAATGAGAAAGTATCCCACAAAAAATTATGCTGTCTATCCTTATTACTTCACTAAGGAGCTGTCTGACTTTCTCCTGGCTTCCTTGAAAAGGTGTCCCTTCGCTAAGGCATGTCCAGAAGCATTGTCAGACGAGATTGGGCGTGTTCAGGGTGGTATGGCCGTAGACCAGAAGCATTATTAAAGATGGAAGGATTTGTTAAGATCAGGCTTACAGATGGTCTGTTTGAGAGAACACAATCTGGCTTACCATATGAAGTCCATATTGATATATTTTCAGGAAATCCTAGGAAAAATTTTAGCCCTTTCTGAAGAGTCAAGGCAAAAGTATAGGAAATTTTGCATTGATTTGGGGAATCATTCATGTATTCTAAATGGAAAGCTACAGAACTGGGTATTGAGCAGGAGAATTGAAGCAGATAGAGCTACCAGAAATTCCTCCCTTCTATAGGATTTGGCAATATAAGAAATAAGTGGTAGTTTTACCCTTAAATATGAATGTTTGATTAAAGGTGGGGGAGAGAGGAGTGGTGTAGCATGCATTCAATTAGGAACCAAATCCTTGATTGTACTTCTGAAGGAAGTAGAAATCTGATTGTTTTGGTAAATACTGGGATTCTGGGGTCTAAAGAGAGGGATCAATTTTCCATAAAATGGGAGTTCTGAAGCTGTGTTTCCCAGGCCAGTATTATCTGGTTAAAAATGCAAATGCTGAACCAGAAACCCTGGGGATGGGGTCCAGTGATCTCTGCTGTATCGGGCTCTTCTAATGATTCTGATGCACACCAAATTTTGCTTGAAAGTACTGAGGAAGTAAATGAATCAAATCAGACACTAAAAAACCATTGTATTTCTTAATATTTACAGTACCTCACCTGAGTTTACATATTGAGCCTGAAGAAGGTAGCTTGGCAGGTGGAATGTGGATCACAATCACATTTGATGGTAGGTTTGTGTTTTACCAAGTGTGGGTGTCTTGTCTATTGGCTCCAGTTCTAAAGAAAATAAATCACTGCTTTCCTTGCTTAAGGATGGGTATAAAGGAGGGTCTGAGAAAGATGGACAGATTGACTTATTCTATTTTTTCAGATGCTCACTGGTTAATGTCTTAGTAGTCTCACATTGAAGTCCATTTTCCTCTCTAAAGCTGGAGATGGGATTCTAGCTACCCTAAATGAGATGTTAGGGAAGTGCGTGCCATATGGCCTCTGTCTTCCAGTCAGGAATTTGACTTACTCCTTTTAGATGATTCTATAGCTGAGATCTTGTAAACCATGGCTCAGTGTAGCCATTTGGAGCATGGTACAGAGTAATTTTGAGGGTTGAAAAATTCTTTCCTGGTTTTAGGCAGATCTGAAGAGAGGCTCTTCTTTTATAAGCTCGTACATAAAACAGCTCCATTATATAGCAACCACAAATGCTTTTGGAAAGGAGTATCAATTTAATCCTTAGACAAACCGAATGTCTTACATTGCCCCCGTGTGGCCATGTTTTTGCATTAACCTGCGTGGATCACAACTGCTGAGCCTCTGATTCTCTGTCCTTTACGCTCAGGTTGGGACTTGAGTGTTCTTTACCCCAACAACGGCTCTCGACTGGAGATAAGCCTGGTGAATGTGGCAGTACCTGCACTGCCAAGCGTCCCCTGTGACATCACTCCTGTTTTCTTGGCTGTGCCTGTAGTGATGTGCCAGACCAGGTATCTCTATCTGGAAGAAAAAGACTGAAGGAGTGGGTTTTGCACAACTCAGTAGCTTTTGGTGGCATACTACAGCAATTCCTGTGGTAACTACAATTATCAACTATCGTTTCTGAAAAATTTCTGCGTGGGTATACTTTTTAAAAGGTTCCTACCAGGTCTGTAGGATTTAATGGAAGATGAGGGAATGGGGAAGAATTTAAAGATATTTACAGGGAAGGGCTTGGTGGTGTTTGCATTTGACTTTTGCTAGGAGCCTTATGGCTATTAGTGTTTCAATAAATAATGCTTTGCATTTGGAATGATTGTGCATAAATCCAAAACCAATTAGGAAAGAAATTTGCTTGGGCTCAATTTGTTGCTCAGTGTGATTTTACCATACTTCTATTGAGGAAATACTTTTATAGGACTCCAGGTATTCTATTGTTCTACTCAGATTTTTGTTTACCTATGAAATTTGCATGAATTCCTTTATTCTTTATGCATGTCTTAAGAGATGTTGCATGCAAATGAACCACAAGGGAAAGGAAGGGCATTGTCATTTCCTTTTGGTTTCTGTTTCTACTTTCTGGAAGATTTCCTCCCTCCCTATCTGCTCACTGAAGTCTACCCTCCACACTACAAGTGCCATCTCATCCCTGAACATACTACCCAGCAAAACCTTTCCCTCTTTTAAAAGGGAAAGAAGGAATGCTTTCTAATTTATTCATTCTCGGGATGTATATGTGCCCACATATTTTCCTGTACTCTCATCATTTTTGTTTGTTTTTATTCTTTTGACACAGAGTCTTGCTATGTAGCCCAGGCTAGTCTTGAACTCACAGTGATCCTTCTGCCTCAGCTTTCCAGGTGCTGGAATTAAAGGTCTATGCCACCACACCCTGCTCATGTGCTCTCATCCTGAAGGGTGGATCTTTTTTGAAATCTACACAAAGGTGCAACATGCGTACCTTAGTGACCTTGTTTCTTCAGTTCTATGTTTCTCTTGATAATTGGCCCGCTGAATTTGCTATGTTCATTCTCATAGAATTAAGTGGTTCAGATCCCGGGGGCATGTTTACTGTCATAATTGTAGTGTTCATTGCACAATGCTTTACAAGTAGACAACACTCAATCTATATCTGTTCAACGAGCTACTGATTTTAAAACTGAGTTATTATGCTTTCCTTAGCTTTCATGGTACATGTAAGCATAGACTTTCTACAAGAATTTGCCAGTAAAATTCTAAGGATTTATATATCTTATCTACTCAGTTCCAACATACTAATGACATTAAGATGCACCATTAGTTTTATGGCATCTTTTAGAGAAAAAAAATATACCCTCTTAATTATACTAATTGACTGGAAGATGGATATCAAATTCAATTAACATTTAAGTGTAAAAATGTATAGTTTATTATCAATGAAATGGTGCCACAGTCATTATAAAAAGACACAACTGCCTTCTCTGAAACAGTTATCAGAGAACTGTTCAAGAATCTAGGTCTAAGGTAATTATAAGTGAATCTGGGAGGTAAAAGATGAAATATAAGAAGGTTTGATTTTTTACAAATGCAGGGAGAAATTTGAAGTGGTTAAGTGAGCCGGTTGCTTGGAGTTCAAGGCTTCTGATTGCTAAGGATTTCCCCTTTCTGTTCTCAGATCTCTGTTATCCCAAGCATATGAGGGTCTGTATTCCCTGGAAGTGCGCTCTGGTGGACAGGTGGTGGGACCACAGGACAACTGTACTTTCAAGGTGGGCTCAAAGGATACAGAAATGTGTTGTTTGCCTAATTTTAAGTCCGCTTGTGTTGTCAACAAGCGAATTATAAGTCAGCCAGAAAGTCTACTTTCACAGAGTAAGAAGAAAGAAGGGTGGAATTTATGAAGTTTCTAGTGAAAGCCAAGTATTAAACACTTTGGTCAGGCTCTAGAGAACTGCTTTATGTATACTGTATAATGAGTAATACTCACAGCAATTTTATGTGGTACCAATTTATTATATTGTGTTTACATGTGAGCAACTGAGGCAAGGTGTGATTAAATAATTTGCCCATGCCATCCAGGCAGCAAATGGCAAAACCAGGATTTGAACCTGCCGCTGGCTAAATCCATATTTAACCTGAAGTTCACAGAGGCATCACAAAGGTTACCTTTGTGGGTCAGTGTTTTTTTTTTTTTTTTTAAATGAGCTCAATGAAGGGACGCAGGAACCAGAGTTTTCTGGTGAAGAGACCCACATTCTACTCATCCTTCTGCTTTATGGTAGATTTATGGTAGATTTCTGCTACTCTTTCCAATGCTAGACTGACAAGGGCAATTCCTGGTGAGACTCTCTTTTATGGGGTAGAGAGAGAGGAGACAGAGAAAGAGCAAGGGAGGGAGGGAGGGAGAGAGAGAGAGAGACAGAGACAGAGAGAGAGAGAGAGAGAGAGAGAGAGAGAGAGAGAGAGAGAGAGAGGAAGTAGAGGAGGAGGAGGGGAGGGAAGAATTAATGAGGACAGTGCCTGACTTAATTTAGAGCCTGTGTATCTATACTGGGACTTAACTTCAGGTTTGGTTCAGTCTAAGTTCCATTTCTGATTAGTTTTACACTAACATGATCTCTGAAGGGTGAGCTCCAAACTTTCCTTAAAAGGCAGCACCTAAGCATTGTTCTTATTTACAAAAGCTCCTCTGTTTTAGGAGCAATTTCAAAGAACTCAATTGAGTTACTAACTGATATTCTTTTAGAGCAAGACTCCACTTTTCAAATTCATCTCTAATATTATTCACATTTTATATAGGAAATTTGGTTCTGAATTGGAGTTTGTTGTCCATCTACACTTAACAGTTGGCTTCTCAGTCCATGAAAATCTCATTTTCTGTAAGCTTACTTCTGTACATATAGAGCAGAAAGAAAAATAGTTACATCATCCTTTCCTATTAAAGGCTGTGCCACTACCTCTCCAGTGTCTCAAGGAATGTAAAAGAGAGATGGCCAGGCATGCTTTTTAATTACCATGCTCCTTTTCACCCCAGATAGTACTTTTCTTAACAAAGGATTGGTAAAGAGAGAGAGGGAAATAAGAGAAACCCATCCTAAAATTGCACACTAAAGAAAACAAGCATAGTGTGGTGAATTGATGAAAAATCACCAGGGATGCAGTTAAATGAGAGGCATTCCAAGCTAACTAAAATATGGTATATCTCTTTGTTTTGGGACAGGGACCAGGGAAACACAAATATTAAAAATTAATTTTATCTTGCCAGTCCGCTCCAAAGAGCCTGCTGCGGGCATGACAAGTTTGAGCAGCTCACAGAAAGTTCATAAAGCAGCTGGTGGCTGTGGCTTTATCATTCTAATCCACTGCTCCCTCTCCCCATCCTGCTGACCTCACTAGGGCTCAAGGATCAGCTTGTGGGAAGCTTGATTTAGAAGCTCATTAATTTTTCAGTGTCGTACGTCTCTCCTGGTGGGTGACTGGGAGCCTGTTTCTCTTAGAACTGTACCGTTGTATGCTCCGTGTCAGTTCAGAGAGAATCATAAGTGAAGTCTTTTTTTGTGGCTTGACCCTGAGCATGCTCCATCAGTTTCTGACGGCTTGGGAGAGAGCAATAAAGGAATTACTATTGTGCTCACAAATTTCCTGTAGAAAGATTACAGGCAATCTTGAATTTTATATTTCAAACTGGAAACCTAGACGTATGCTTCTTTCCTTGGTTTGAACTCTGTTGTTCCTTCTTCCTCATTTTCTAATTTGTGCAAGATGGGGCAATGAGCATGCTCTCCCTCCCGTGCTCCTGAGGTAAAGTTCCCAAATGAGATGATGTGGGCATGATGGCCAGCCCAGTGGGGCAGGCTATTTGGCAGGTGTATATGCAGCTGCATTTATTTTTATCTTTTGATGAGATCAGAGCCAGCTCTTGCTCTGTGAAGTTACAGCATTCTGATCTTGATTTCCCGGTATACTTTCTATGGACTGTTTTCAAATCTTTTCCTTTAGTGAATGAGGAAGATTAGCCTGATGACATACTCTGTAGCCATGTAGATCAACACTAAAAACCCACACTTGACAGGTGCCATCAACTTGGTTGACATGTTTGTTGATTCTCAGTATCTGTTTAGTGTTGTTGATTAACAAACTATTCTCTGGTGATATTTTCCCTGGGCAGATGGACTTCTGTGGTGCTGGACACAGACCAAACAGAACTATTGGCTTTAGTTTGTTTTACAAATGGGAAACACGATAGGGAGTGTGGGGTGGAGGCTGTCTAGAGGCCCAGTGAATGTGAGGTGGACAAGCCTCTTCCTGGTTAGAGATTAGGCTCATGGGTCAAACCATCTGGTCAATCCATCCTCCCTCTGCCCTGTCTCATCTCTTTAAAGACTTATTATTACTTTGTGTTGGGAAACTTCGAATTCTCCCTCCAATTTTTAAACTAAAATCTATAATAAATTCTGTGAATTATAATCATTCTATTTGTGCTACAGAATACCTGTGCTTATTTTTGTCTAACTATATTTTGATACCAGATTCCCTCCCTTCCTCTACTTCTGGTGTCTTCTATCATTTCTGGCCACTAGTTGGTCATTTTGTCCTTTGTACTTCTCCATTTCTTCATACTGGCCCTGTTGTAGCTTTCTGATAGAGTGGCAAATAGTCTTAGGCTAATCCAGATGCCTGTATGTGTAATAGAATTACTCAGCCCATCTTTCCCTCCCAGCAGTGGATCAGTCATAGCAGATTGGGCTACTCCATCCATTTACAAAAATTCGGATGTCTTCAACATACCAGGCTTTTGGTCTTTCTATACCGAACTATGTTTAACGTGATATATTTCAGGTGAAGGGGCATTGTAATTTGATTTGGAGTGTTAGGACCAGGCTTTGGGAGCCTCATATCTCTCATCTTGTTACCATTTTCCTCCATCTTGAAGAAAAGATGCTTGCTATTCCTTGAATCTTTTGAATCATCTTCCTTCCAGAAGCACATTCTGATTCTTCATCAAGTATCTCACTTGTATATACATCTAGCTACTGATTTGTCATAGCTCGCTGATTCCTACCAAGATATTGGCTGAAAATAATTTAAAACACAATCCAAAAAGGAATTAAAATATTGATATTTGGATGATGCCTCACTTACTTTTCTTTCTGGTAAAATGTGTTCCTGGGTATGACAGGTGGGCATGTAGGAACAGGCTTGTCGAGATTTGGACAATATGGTGGTGCAAGGTAGAGAGCTGTATAACTTTGATCAAGTTCTCTTTGCTTTATATGTAAAAGAAATGTAATAGTACCTGCCATTTCTGTTTCCAGAAATATGAGGATAAAAAGAAGTATGTATGAAGGTGGTTGAGACAACACATTCATTTACTATGTTAGACTAATGTTTTAGGAAGAATGGCTTCTGCCTCTTGTGTTCATGGATATTCTAATGGAATTCTCTCTTGTGATTATATTTTCTAAACAGTTTTCTAAGGCACAGACACCTGTTATTTACCAAGTTAATCCACCAAATGGAGTTCCAGGTAATAAATCATCTGTCAAATTGAAATAAAACAAAGCTTGTTGGAAACTCTTCTATCCAGGTGGGTGGTCTCAATAAATGGGGCAATTAAGCTTCTCAGCTGATGTTGTTTTGAGAACGTATCAGCCTCTGGTTCATTTTAAACCTGGATTGGTTTCTCCTCTGAGCACTTTCATTCTATTGCTTCACTGATAAGAAACACAAACATGATAAGAGAATCAAACCAGTTAGTACTAGAGAATGGAGGAAATAGAAATCATTACCACTCTTAACTTTATAATCATCCACATAATAACAAACTTTTACTAAAACTCTACTGTGTGCCAAGTTTCACTGTAAACTCATTTATATTATTTCCTTATGTTTTCATAAAAACTCAATGATACAAGAGTTTACTATTTCCATTTTGACAAGCTGAGGTTTGAACCCAGAGAGGCCCAGAGGTCTACTATTGTGCTTTGTGTTGAGTAGTGTGAGCCACATGGAAGGCCATTAGCCCTGATCTTCATTTAGATCATTTGTTTGTGAGTTAGAGAATACAGCTATATAAAGGTATAAAAGATGAAAAGATTATGTACAGTTTCAGGATTTCAATAAAGAAGGAATTCCTCCTAATACATTCTGGAACTGCTAAATTTGCACTAAAAAAATCTAGGAAACACGGTGAGGATTATATATAGTTTGCAGTCTTACTTTTTTTCAAATTCCTATCTCAATTTTGGGATTTTCATTTGGTTGAGTTTTCAGAGTGACCTAAAAATGGCAATATAAGTTATTGAACTTTTTTTAAGGTTGTATCTAAATGCATAATCTGATCTAATTGTTTTGATCGGCTTGATTAATCACGAATGCTAGAATAAATATCCATAGTGTTGAAAAATACTTGTGTTTTGTCTGAACATATATAAACACAGATTAAAATACATATATATCTGAAGTTGGCATTATTTTACCCATATGGAGTTTTCACAGATCTGTTTCATTCCATTAGTCTGAGTAATCAAGACAAGAAGATGTTTTATTAACATTAAATTTTAAGTCACATGCAGATATTTGGTTCCTACTTGAGTGTCAGAAAGCTCTTGTTTAGATGGCAGAGGTCTTGTTAGGGTGAGGGAAGAGGAAAGAGCCAGCCCTTAGAGATGTGATATTTATTTAGATTAATGCCCAGCTGTGCCAAGCCTGTTTCTCCCACTGAACAGGAATTCTGCACATTGTTTCTTCCACCTTCTGGGGGGATAGTTGGTGGCTGGCCCAGCTGGAGCGGTTCCTTCATGCAGAGCTGCATGGCTGCGTCTTTCTATCACTTTCCAGATGATTACTCTTATTCATGTAGGAAACCTGCCCAGTGCAGCAGCCAGGGAGATGGGGGAGGAAGTGAAGACAGGAGACACAAGGTTTTTAAGCAGTTGGAGTTGTGTCAGTGGTTAATAGTCCCTCACTGTGATGCAGACTCCCCTGGCAATGGATTGCAGATTGGCTTAGCCATTCATCAGCCTCTGTGGGGCTTCTTTGTTTAGAAACAAAACGAACACTCACATGGCTTCCTAATTTCTATAATTTGTTATTTGTTTTTAAAATTGTGCTTATTGACCCTAGGAGTCTGGCCCATTAACACTAGAAGATCAATTATTAATTAGAAAGAATTGTTCTGGCAGTTTTTAGCAGAAGCAGAAAACTTAAGGTGCCAGACTTTCATGAACTCTATGACCTTTGTTGAAGTCATTAGGTTCCTGCTGTTTATATCCATTTATCCTTAAAAACAGTTGTGTATCACTTGAAAGGATGCTTTTATTTTAGTGCAGGTTATCCAGTGTAAGACACTTCTTAATACACTAATTCAGTATGAAAGGAACATCTTTAATGGTGCTAATTGTTCATGAGGAAACTCCAAAATCTTGTGGATTTGGTGATCTCCCAAGCCACACACAAAAAAACCTGTTTCTCTTCTACTTTTTAAGGTTATATATCACTAAATAATATCTCTTTCATCTCTAAATATTTTCTGTGATATGGAAGTCAGAGTACAGATGACTAAGTTCTCAATTTAGCAGGCTCATCATATGGTGAATGTTAACTATATCATCTTGCTATGCTGTGTTTCTCTAAAAGTTTGTCTTGTGCATTTGCTCAAGACAGTGTAGCTGATAGAATTGTGGGGGTGGCGGCTGAAAAGATAAGAAGTATGAAATATAAATAACCTTTATTTTAAGAATGTAGGCATCTCCCCCCAGGGTCGGCGATCTCTCCATGGGACACGTGGAGTGGGGGCATACATGTAGCTTAGGTTGGGGATGGTGCCTGAGGGGCCATTAGGGATGCACAGGTATCTCATTGGCACTTGTTTGGTGCCAGGGGCAAATTCCTAGGGGTGGGGAAGATAGGGCCACAGTTAAATTCCTAGGGGTGGGGGAGGTGGGGCTCCTTGGTTCCACTTGAGGCTTTACTGGCTACAGTGTCCTGTCTGGGCAAAACTCTTTCATATCCTGTCTTATGATTATTATTATTAGGAAACGGGGCAGAGATTTTTTTTTACTACTTCCTGCTGGAAGGGGATGCTGTACTGGGGTCTAGGGGAGTCGACGGGATGACGGTTGATGCCCATGTAGAAGCTGGTGCCAGGTGTTTTAGCCAGGACAACTTCACTGGTGAATGCACATATGTTAGACTGGAAAAACAAAGAGACAAGATGTTATGAGGAGGCATGGCACTGTTATATTTAAGGACCAGGTGAGGTAGAAGGAAAGGTGCCTTTGATTTACACATGTCATTATATCAGGACCATGTTGAGGTAGGATCATTGTCAAGGTAAGGTAGAATTCTGAAAAATAAATGGGGGGTTAGGAGGAGTGAAGTTATGAAAGGTGATTACTCCCCAATCTGAAAGGGTAAAAGTTAAGAGGGTAAGGCTTTTCTCTTACCCTCTTGTGACGGGGAGTCTTTAGGAAATACTGTTGAGAGTCCTTCTGTAAAAAAGGGTAAGAAATTAGAAACCAAATTGGATAACAAAACATGACAGCCTGAGAGTAGTGGCTGTGAGGCTTTGGTGAAATGGAGATGAGTAGGCAACAGGATGGTTAGATCTAAGGCTGGAAGGGCATCACTTAGCCTGAGTGATGTGAAATCAGGATGGCAGTTTAGCAACTTTGATCTCTGTTGAGGTTGCCAAGAATATCAGGTATGAGCCGCTGTAACCTGGTTGTAGTCCTTGGAATGATTTGCTATAACAGAATTTTAGTAAGTATATAAGCATTCTCCCTGATTGTGTGAAAGGCTTTTATGTATTCTGAAAAAATATAAACAAAGTGAGAAGACAAAATTTATCTGTCAGTCTTGACCAGGGTTGTCTGAGAAATTGGTGAATAAGAAATGAAGGGGGTGATTTATATTACTGAGGAGAGGTTTATTAGTGATAACAGGTATAAGCTGTTGAGGCTTCAGTGTCTGGGTCAGCCTGTATGAACACAAGGGAATAAAAAGCATTTTTAAGATTTAGGACTGTAGAGTGAGCAGTGGAGGGAAGATTTGGCACCACTGGGTGGATTAGGAAGAAGCAGTCTGGAACCTGCACGAAATAGGCCCTGTTTGTAAATGGCATAGGTTGACCTTTAATATCTCCTAGAGATTGAGGACTTATTATAGCAGCCTGAAAACTCAGGAAGAACTCTATATATATGGCCTCTATGTTCACAAATATAGAGAATGTCCTACCTGAGACTTTAGTGGGACTTGGGATGAGATGGACACCTTAAAGTGGGCTGTTGTTGGCCCTGAGCCCTGTCAGTCTTCAGCAGCAAGTTTAAGCAGATCTGTCAGCGATGAATCTGGCAGTGTTGGCATTTCCTGTGAGGGCTGGAAGTTAGGATGGCTTACCCACTCTCTGGTGGCTAGGACAGTCCAGTAGCCCTGGGGTAAGATCCCAAAGGAATGCCATGATGGGGCACTCTTTTGCCCAATGTCTTCTGCTGCATTTGAGGTGTGGTCCATGGGGGAACCCAGGCAGCTCCACCTTGTGTTGGTTTACCTGTCTCAGAACTCCAAGTGTCACAAGTGTTATTGTTATCTCTATTGTTGAAAACATGAAAAGCCATATTAAGGAGGTCTCTATGGAGCTTGAAGGTCAAGTTTTGCTTCTTTGTTGTGGGATCTGGTCTACAGTAGAAGGTATGTATAGAATTAAGCAAGTATGCAGGAGTCAAATACAATCAACAGGGTATTTATGACTTTAGTAATGATTTCTCATAAGGAGAACAAAGTCCAAGAAATTTTAGGAATTGACATGTCATTTATGTCATATATAAGTATCTCTTTATGTTAGTAAAATGTCTAATGCCATCTGATTTTTGGAGGATTGCCTTTTTGATTAATTTTTACCTTTTTATTTAGGAGAGAAATCAGCTATGGTGTTATTTAATATCAGTTGAATATAGTTAATTATGGCTTGGTGGAGGGCTGAGCCAGTGTAGGCAGACAGGCTGGGTAAAGCTTAAGTTTGGCTTTTGCCGCAGTGTTGGTCTTGTTGTTTTCCATGTATCATATAACCCTTGTCTTGGAAAAGAGTTAGTGGTTCCCAGCAAAAGGAATTTATAATTATTTTCTAATTTTACCATCAGATCAGCAACTATGAATTGTCTTAGTCATATGAACTTTAGTTGCGGTATCTCATATAATGCTATGGAGATTAATGAAGGCTTTAATTGATAAACAAGGCTGGTAAAATTACCAGGTAGCTACTTCCCTGTTTATCAGCCAAAGTCTTGTCTATTGCCAGCTTATTTTAAGCTAAATAAACCTTGATTAAATGGTTTGAGAATGCAAAAAAAGCCTGATGTGGACCAAGAAATAGGATCTCTAAGACGAGGTGCCGAGCTGCTGTTTATCTGTGTTTGTGGTCAGAGGAGCACTTGTGCTTGGAAGTGGGGACAGGTCCAGCATGCAGAGCATGCCCAGCGTGGGGGGCGGTGCACACAGAGTGAAGGTGGGGCAAGCATCAGGATGTAGTGCACAGGGTGGGCTGGAACTGCCCGCAAAATGCATGCAAGGTGGGGGTGGTGGTTGTGGCGGCTGGCGTGCGGTGTGCTGGGACCCTGCATGCTGAGACCCTGTGTGCCGGGACCCTGTGTGAAGCTGGGGTACCATGTGAAGCTGGAACTGCTTGCAGGGCATGTTGCAGGTAGCCAGACTGACGCGGAGCTGAGCCGCCACCTGGAGCCGGAACGCTCATGGGGCATGCGGATTAGGGTGTGGTGTTAGAGCCGAACCCTAGACGGAGCTGGAGTGTGGCATGAGAGCCAAGACACTGCACAGAGTTGAGGCACAGCGTGAAAGCCTAAAGTAGCCTGCTCATATCTCTTAACACTGTTTGGGCGCACCTCCCATCTTGGCGGGGAATGGGTCAGCGTGCATGGCGAAGGGGTAGAGGAAGTGGCAAGGAAACAAAGCGGACACTGGCAGGAAAGGACAGATATTCTTAAAACAAAGGCTTAAAAATAGAGAGTTTTGTAAACTTGTCATCAGTGTGATAAGCCATAGATAGGTATGGTTTTTTTGGGGGGGGGGACAGGAAGTGGTCCCCAAGATAAAATCTGGTGTGGGGTCTGGCCTACGGAGTTATAGCCCGATAAGGCAATGGACCATGGTCTACTAAGTTTAAGTCATAACTTTTTACTTGTTTTAGACCGATTAGTATTTTGGTTCCAAAGCTTGTAATAATTGGCCGTCACCAATATATATATGAGTGGATTTTTTTCCATGAAGTTAGTAACAGCTCTACCCGTGAGAACTTAAAAAGCTCTGAAGGACATAAGAGTCTTCCAGTGTGGACACAGGGTGGCCCAGAAAAACTCTGCCTTGGGCTATCTAAGGATGTGAGAGCATCACTTGAATCCACAGAAAGGGGGAGAAAATCCACCTGGGGCCTGGTCCAGTGGCAATCTCCGGGGGTTGCTCACCTGTGGTAAATTGGGTCGGTGTTGTTTGCGAACCAGCAGCGACAAGTTTACAGCTCCCCAGTGTAGAAGTGAGGAATTAGTCCAGTCCTGGTCCTGAACGGCAGGGGACTCAGACTGGGAGAGCCCCAGAAGTCTCGTCTGCTGTTCCTGGTCAGGGAACCATATGAGGGTGGACGCTGAAAAGATAAGAAGTATGAGATTTAAATCACCTTTATTTTAAGAATGTGGGGAGAGACCACCCCGACACCCTGGGGTGTGGCATCTCCCCCCAGGGTCGATGATCTCTCTGTGGGACACGTGGAGTGGGGGCATACATGTAGCTTAGTTGGGGGTGGTGTCTGAGGAGGCATTAGGGATGCACAAGTATCTCATTGGCACTAGTTTGGTGCCAGAGGCAAATTCCTAGGGGTGGGGCAGATAGGGCCACAGGTAAATTCCTATGGGTGGGGGAGATGGTGCTCCTTGGTTCTGCCTGAGGCTTTACTGGCTACTGTGTCCTGTCTGGGCCAAAGCTCTTTCAGTAGCTATACTTCAAATTAGAGTACATCAACTCATATAGTATTTGATAGGGTTTCACAAGCTGTTTATGAGATGGTGCTACATTAAATAACTTTCATGGCTCCTACAATCAGCGTAAGATAGCACTGAGAGTGTGTCTTGCTGAGAGGGTTTTCTGTATTGCTTGTAGACTCAAAAGAGCAGAGTTAGGAGATACTTGCTACCCACTGGGAATTCCAGAAAGTTGCAGAGAGCAGACTCAGAGGTACAAGGGCTATCCCTACCTATATCAATAGTTAGGCAAATAAAACTGTTTCCAGACACCTAATTTGCCCTATCATTTTTTTTCTCCTTTTAAAGACAGAGTCTTGCTATGTTGCCCCATTTGACTTCAGACTCTTGGGATGGAGCAGTCTTCCTGGTTCAGCTGGAATAGCAGAGAGCACGAGTACATGCCACTGTGCCTGGTGTGTCCCATCTTTGCACATAAACCAATTTTTTGAATGAATGAGATATGAGCTGTTTTATACCCTTCTTTAATCTTGGGACATCCACAGTGTTTATCTTTTATACTTTGAGATATGAAAAGTAGCTTAGAGTCTCTGAATATCCATCAAATTATATGCTATGAATTTTTTATATTGCTTTTTATTTTAATTACTATGTGAATGACATATAAAATTGTACATATTTATGGGGTACCATTTGATGTTTCAAATCATTTAAATATTGTATAATGTTCAAATCAGGGTAAGCATGTTTTCTCAAATATTTGTCATTTATTTGTTGTGAAGACATTCAAAATTCTTCCAGCTTTTAATGCAAATACAGTACATTATCATCATCTACATTCACCCTATTGTGCAGTGGAACACCAGGGCTTATTTTTTCTATATCTCTCAATGGACAGCTTGTTTTTACCTCTCATTCTCCTCAACCTCAGTTAACCACTATGTTATTCTCAGTTTCTACTATATCAACTTTTTACAGTTTCACATGGGTGAGATCATGAGGTATGATTTGTTTATTTTAGCAAGTGTCCAGAGGAAAGCCCCATGAAGATGAGGCACCCCAGGGCAAATCATTCCTAAGAGTCATTTTAGGTAGGTGATCTACACAGAGTAGACAGGCAGTGGGTAGAAATCAGTCATCCTTCCCGCAATTTACCCACTTTATGGAACTGTGAAGAAGACCTGTTATCCCTTCCACCCTTTGTGCATAGACGATTGCATCTGTGTTTGAAATAATTGCTTATTTTAGCCTTTCTAGTGTCTCTTAATGATCACTGGATTGTGCGATTGTCTCTAGGATCATACAATTTATAAAAAGTGTTAGTTTATACATATGACCAGCTTTGGCATACTGGGTATATGGAATCCAAACAAATGGTTTCATTATACATTTGGAGTTTGAGTTAAGCACATTAAAATTTTAAAAAAATCTTCTTAAAACAGGAAAACTAATACATGTATATGGTTGGATTATCACTGGAAAGCTGGAAACCTTTGATGCTGATGCTGAGTACATTGATAGGTAAGCGTGTGTTTGAGTGTTTTTGTGTTCAACAAGTTACGTGTTTGCTGGATGGCTTCCTGGGGTCAGATTCCATGCAGCAATACATTTTAAGATGCTGGCACAGAATTTTTATTTTTCACTTTGCAGTTTATGTTCCCTGATGAGCTGGACTTCAGCTTTTATTCTATTAATGTAATTGTATCTGGACAATTAAGCTGGTCCATTTATTTACTGACAATTAATCACTCTAGGCTTTTTATGAATTGTACAGTAATTGTATCTGTAGGTTTTCCTTTTTGATTCGGCCTTTGTCTCTTAGGCTAAAGTAAATTCTTTGTAAAATGCTATGTAACCACAAGCTCACCATAACTTTCTTGCCCAGTTGTTTATTTGTGCATTTAGAAATTCTGTTAGTGGGATCAGAAGAAAACACGGGCTCAGGTACTAGGAGCCATTAAACTTTCAGTATTTTCTGGGAGTGACTGAAATGTCAACAGAGCTTTTTTCACTGGAGTCTTGCTATGTCGAAAATTATACTATTCAATCACCCATGGCAGGGAGAGAGGAGAATAAGATGGAAAACATTGAGATTGTGGAGTTTGTGAGAAATTAAACAAACTGCCATCATTCCGTAAAAAAAGAACTTACTATAGTAAGTGTTTATAAGGCATAAGAAGCATAATCTCATTATTCACAAAGCTGCAGAAAGATTACACACTGTGTCTGATCTTTCCTTCACCCCTGGATGAATTAGACTCATTCTCCTCTCTCCTTTATCCATTTGCTGCTGAGCTACAATTCTGAAATTAAGTAATGGTCAGTTTGTCTCCTAAAGAAATCACTCCTTCTATTGGGAATAGAAATCCTAAGTACTTTCTTGATGATATACTATATTCATTACTTGGTTTCATCTTAGCCATGGCCAGTGGTCCAGCCTTACAGAGGTGGAATAAGGCAGTTCCTCTATGGGGACCAAGATAGTCAATGTGATAATGACTTTTTGATTGGGAGGTAAATACTTCCTTGGCATTGTGAATTCAGTGTGGGCTCTGAGTACCCCCTTGGGCTGGGATCTTGAGTTAATGTCCTTTAAGGGCATAGCATCCAGCCTCCCTGCCATTGTGCTCTGTAAATCCAGAGCAGAGGGTCCACACTGCATTTTCTCTGATCTTTGCATCAGTGTTCACTGGGAGTATTACATGGTTGTCTCTTATGTTTTGTTTCCTTTTTTTGTCCAGCCCATTGGTCTTGGAGGCTCAAAGGGAAAAGTGGATCACTCCTTGTTCTCTTATAAACAGGCAGACAGGAAACCAGTGAGTGTCTTTCTTTTCTTGCCAACATATACACTTTAGGTTTTGTTATTTCATATGAATACAATACACACACACACACACACACACACACACACACACACACATGGTTTTTGAAAATATAAATCACTCATAACTAGTAATTCCCTTATCTTTAGACTTAGTGGAAAAGATGCAGGATTTTATTCAAAATGTAAAATGAAGTAGACTAGAAGTGGCATCGTTCTTGAAAATAAACCACTAATATTGATTAAGGGTCTTTTTAGGCTGAGGTTTGCTCTAATGCTTTACATTGAGGTCACTCAATAGTTTTGTGAATATGTGTGGTTATTAGTCTCTTTACAGATGAGGGAACTGAGGCATACAGAGCTTTAAGGAACTTGCTCACAATCTCATAGAGAGGAAGCCAGAGAGCTGAGTTTGGAACCCTGTCTGACTAACCAGCCTCCAAAGCTCACTCTCTCAACTACTACTATATGGGAACTCACCAAAGAAAAAAGTGTCTGATTTTTGAAAAAATGAGTGTCTAAGTGCTCCAGTTCATACAAGCAACATTTTGCTGTGGACTTGGTGGATTAAACTTGCTTTGAGAGCTTTACAAGAATTACACTGTATGGCTTAATTTTTGAAGACTAGTGTTAAATGGAGTCAGATTCTATAATATTGTTTATACCAGTACCTTTAATTTGTTTGCACAGGATTGTCCTTTTGAGGTTCATACATTTTTTGATGAGGATTTTGCCATTCTTGTTATAGAATAGATTTTGGAAAGGGAGGACCAAATGGTCTTTCACAGTGTGTTTGACTGGTAACATACATATTGATAATTCTTGATTACCCTCAAAATTGCCTAGATGAACTTATTCTACCTTTAATAGCTATCAGTTTTCTCCGGCTACCTCACTTTTTATTTTATGTATTCCTTTCCTGATTAAAGAGCCAGAGCTTGCTAGTCGTGTGGTACTTCTCATGTCTGTTTGTTTTCTCCTCAGCTACCCTTTCCAGGAAGACCGTGGTCTTGGGACTCTGACATGCCGTGTGGAAGGCGATTACATAGGTCTGGTAGAGAAGTAGTATAATTTTAATATTGTACTCATTTCTTTCTTTGTATCCAGGAAAAAAGATTAATCCTAAGAATTAGTTTTCAAGAGAATAATAATAAAGAGGATAAATGTTTGTTGGGAAAAGTCAACAACACTGTACATAGCAGAGTCTATGTAAAATAACTCAATCCCTACAGTAACTTATGGGATTGAAGGAACTGTTCATTTTACAGGTCAGAAAATTTGATTTGGTAACCTATAGATCAGGGTTTAAATCATGCTCAGTCTAAATCCATGCCTGGGCTCTTACATGCTATGAAACACGGCATTTGTTCTTGCATTCTTGGAAGCCTGTACTGTCAGTGATTCTAAGCCTGAGGATGGTTCTTTTGAGCACCACTGAAGAAATGATAGGTTTAAGTGTCAAAGTGATAGCATTGGAGTCTTTGAGTATGTGACAGTAGCAGCCTGGCAGTCATAAAGATTTCTGTATTAATATCTTTTTTATGTTTCAGGCTCCCAGAATGTTAGCTTCTCAGTATTTAACAAAGGAAAGTAAGTACCTAGGTGTAGGCAAATTTGCTTTCATCTTGTACTATCGACCTCTCTCACCTTGCTATTTTTTAAAAATATTTATAATAGATAATCCAACCATCATCAATACATTTTCTTGACATAATTATGTCTTGTGCCTCACTTCTCCACATTGTAAGTTTTTCAGTATGGCGATCAAGCTTTGGAGAGATAAGTTAGGATTCTGGATTTCTGTTTGCCTTTACTCCACATTTCATCACTATGTAGTTTGCTAAGTATAGTATACTTGAAAGTATGTTATCTAACTGATATTCATTTCATTATAATAATAGTGACACTTTATATACAGCAGTTCTGTCCAAAAGTCAAAACTTTGTTTTCTTTCTCTCTTCCTCTCAAGAATAAATCTAATGTCTAACATCTCCTGTAGACCATTTAGTACAAGGCCTTTTCATTCTTCCTTCCTAATACTGTGAAGTGGCTGTTATTGCCAAACAATAATTTTATATATCACAAAACATACTTTGTCCCACTGATACTGTCCTATGGTTACTAAGAGCTGCTGGTATCCAAATAGTTCTGAAGGTCATTAGATGTTAGTTCATGATTTTTCTTTCTGGTAGCCAATTTAAAAAATGTAATCACAGGTAATACTGTATCACAAATCACAACTTTGTCTGTTTTGAAGGTCAATGGTAAACAAAAGTGCATGGCTGATCAGTGCCAAACAGGACCTTTTCCTGTACCAGACACACTCAGGTACTATTTCCCTTCTCTCTGGGCATTGGGTCCCTATCCCTATGCGTCACTCAGCATTAGACTTCTCTTTCTTCCTGCAGTTTATCCATGGCCATTAAATCTGATGATGCTCCTAGAAGCCTCTGCTCAGCTGGCACTGTGGTTTTAGTTAAGATTAAGTTTCTTCTATCAGATCAGCTTTGTTCCTATATATTGTTTACTGATGTTCTGGAAAATGCATCATTAAAGTGATTTCATCATGGTGAGACCATCATTGAGTACGTTTATACAAACTTAGATGATACAGATCAATCACTTCACATGGCTTCTTAATGTAATCAAGACACAAGGCAAACATGTGATCTATGAGGCTGTAATTAGTGTTACACTGTATATTGGTTTTAAGTTTTTATGATATTGGGGATTGAACACTGGGTTACATCCCCAGCATGTTTATTTGTTCATTTGGCAAGAAGATGTAGCTTGTTAAATTGTCTTGGCTGGGCTCAAACTTGTGATGTTTCACCTCCCAAATGCTGGGATTACAGGAGTGAAATACTGCCCCTACCTCGTTTTACAGTAAACTTTTTATTTTATAAATTCTTATTGTGAAACTCTTACCTGTGAATTTGATTGGTTTAGGAATTGCCTTGAGGTTAGTAAGCACACTTCTGGGTATGTCTGGAGGGACCATGGAGTCATGACTGTGGGTACTGCACTGGGTCCCCAGCCCTTTGTCTCTGCTCTGCTCCCTGCTTTGCTTTCCTGTCACCACCAGCTAAGCAGCTTCGCCTGGCTGCGCCCTTTTGCTACAGTATTTACACCTTGGAGCCAGCCAATAACAGACTGAATCCTCTGCAACTGTGAGCCAAGAAAAGGTCTCCTCCTTTAAATCATGATTATTTGTTATTATGTTCCACCAATAGGAAAGATAACACGTAAGGAAAAAAATTATGCTTTGAGATAATGATGAAAAGTATAGTATAGTAAACACATAAACCAGTAACACAACAGTTGTTTATTGTTACCACATATTATGCATTGTCCATAATTGTATGCACTATATTTTTATTGACTGGGACTGCAGTAGGTTTATTTACACCAGCCTACTCACAAATATGCAAATAATGCAATCTCCTATGTATGTTATCCTTAGAGCAGTTACAATATGAGTAGGAAATAAGTAGTTTTCAGCTTCATTATTATTTTATTTGACCAATATTTCTCATTGATACATTGTTTTGTGGTGCATGACTATATATATTTTTAAACTTTATTTAAGGAGAAAAAGAAAAAAACAGAAAAAGGATACAAGTTATACAGAATTTCAAAAAAAATAAACAGTAGGAAATCACTAGTTAATAGATTACATATTGTCATCTTAGAAATAGTTATTCGAGTTACAAAATTAAAGCATATAAAGTGGACATTCAAATAGTGAGACTGCAAACAGTTGTGTTCAATGATCCAACAAAAACTCAGTAATATGGTTACCTCTCTTATACACTTAAATATACATGCAATTATATCCTTTAGAGCACTTTCTTTTCCTCTCTTTTTTACAATGACAATTATACATTTTGGGTTTTATTACTCCCACAGTTCTTATTACTTTTTTTTGAAGAGAATAAAACCAAATGTGAAATAACAAAACAGAGTCAGTCAAATCAAAAGGATGGACATGGTACATAATGTAAAAACAGAATACAAGGTGATCAACAATGGTCACCATAATGCCTCTTGCTATCTTAAAAAGAATTGCCTATATCATCAGTTATAATAAAATTGAACAAAACCAATAAAACCAAAACATTGGAGACATTAGAGGACTTTAAAAGAAGATAATAGTAAAACTAGAATGGGCATCATAGTGAATCTTATTGTCTTCACAGTTGTTGCCTATACTCTCAAACTTGGTACTATCAAGCAAAACAGAATAGAGGAGAACCGTCAAAACAAGATGGTGAGAGCAATACAGGGCTTCAAATCAAGTTAATAGGAAATCAAAGTGAGTTACTATAATATATCCTGCTATTTTTTATTTTTCCCTTATTTACAAAGATAAAATAATAAATATTAAAAAAGGAGATTGAGATAAAAGAGAACATAACAACAAAACAGCACAGGTCAGAACATAACCGTTTCTAAGCACAATAATGTTTCACCACAAGATATCCTGAGCATAGTGTCTCTTTCCTTGAAATCTTTGAGTATAACTTTGTATACTGTAGTATCAAACATATTAAGACAATGTAAAACCATTCAAGAGAATGACAGTATTACAGGGTATTTAGAACCAACTAACAGAAAACAAAAAATGGTTTCTGTATTATCTCCTTGTCTATGAAAGTTTTGTTTATATTATCACATATAGTACAATCCAATAAGATACAACATGTTAAGACCAATGGAGACAGAAGAGCAAAAGTTTGATGGGACTTCAAAACAAGGTGATATTAAATCAGCACTAGCTATTATGATGTCTTGTTTTCTCCAAAATAGCTGTTCCCACCATCCAACCTTCTCTGCCTCATTTCTGTTGAGCTCTTTCGCTGTCATTAGTTGTCAGTTTGTCTTCTTCATTTCACTTTCTGCTCCATTCATTGTGGCCTCTCTGCCACTGTTTCTGGAATCTTGGTATTTTTCTTTTTTAGAATGTCCTGTGGTATTCTCTGTAGAGTTGAATTGGTGATTGCAAATTCCCATAGTTCCTCTTTATCCTGGAAGCACCTTTTTTCTCCATTAATTTCTAGGGACAGTTGTGCAGGATATATCAATCTTGTCTGGAGGTTATTGTCTTTCAAAGCTTGAATTGTTTAGACCAAGCTCTTCATAATTTGATGGTTTGTGGTGAGAAGTCTGCTATAATTCTGATGGGTGTTCCCTTGTAAGTGATCTGTTTCTTGTTTCTGACAGCTTTTAATATTCTGTTCTTATATTGGATTTCTGGAATTTTGATTATTATATGCCTGGGTGTAGTTCTGTTTGGGTTGTAGGTAGCTGGGTGGCTGGGGTCCTGTATGCCTCAATAGATCTGAGTATCTTTACCCTTTGCCATATTGGGGAAGCTCTCCTTGATTATTTCTGTGAATAGCCTTTGCAGTTCATTTGTTTGTATTCCTGCTTCTTCCTTTACATTCTTAATTCTTAAATTATGAATCCTCTTATCATCTTCTTAGCCTTTGTATTGTTACTGCTTGTTTCCTTGTTATTTTTAAGAAGTTTTTCATTTCATGCTCCCACATTACAAATCTGTCCTGCAGTTCAGATAATCTATCCTTAGTTACTTTCAAGCTGTTGTGCCAGCTTTCAATAGAGTTTTTCAGTTTCCTGGTGATCTCTTTGAACCTGCTTCATGTATTCTACATTTTCTCTATTTTCTCCATCAAACAATTCTCCCCTTTTTTTCTGTTCTTCCATTCCACCATCTGTTTTTTCTTGAGAGGTGCTTAGTGTTTCTTTAACTATTCTACTTATATTCTGCTTTACTTGGTTAAATACTTCACTTTTGAACTTGTCTATGAGGTCCCAGATATATCACTTTATGTCTATTGGTCCTGTGCCTGTTATTGCATGTTTTCCATCCTCATTTTCCTTTGCATTTACCTTTCCTGGATCAGTGTTCTCAGAATCGGGGACTGAGGACCCTTTCTTGTTGCTCCCTCTTCCCATACTTCTTGTTCCTTCCATACAAGTGTATATAGGGGGCCCAGTTTCTTTCTTTGTCGGTTACAGGTTGTTTGAATCATGCTGGCTAGGTGTTCCCACCCACTGCAGTGTACTAGAGAGACACAGACCTGGGCAGCCTATGCTGGGCCCGCCCATCTATATCAGTCAACCTGCTGAAGTCTTCAGTGCATTAGGGTGCACCTCCAGGCGCAGGGACCTGGTTTGGTCTAGCCTACTGGGTCTTAGTCTGCAGCGTCACCCAGGTCAAGCACTCCCCACCAATCCCACCTGAGAGGGGAATATGTGACTGAAGTCACTGCAGTGTCCTTTTCTGGCTAGTCTGCTGAGTCCCAGAATGTCCTCTGTTGGAGCCTCCTAGTCTATGGAAGGGTCCCTGTTCCTCTCACTCACTGCAGTTTGATGCAGGGCTCCCTGCCAGCTCTGCTCTCAATTTGATTCACTGATTCCTGCCCTCAGAGCTTTTGTGTCTCTATCCCTGCTGTGCCGATTCAGATGCAGCAGCAGCAGTGGCAGGTAATTCAAGCCGTGGTTTCCAGAGGCACGGTTCCAGCTTCAGCACTGAGACTTTAGCTGTTCCAGTCATAGAACCAGGATTGCATTTCCAGTTGGTTTCTCTCAGTTTAGTCCATTCCTGGGTCGGCAGGGTATATCTCCCCCTGCTTAGGACACTCCACACAGCACCATTCCTGGAATCTAAGCTAGCTATCTCAGAGAGCATCCATAGCTGCTGTTATCTATCTGCCATGTTCTCCTGGAAGTCTGCATGACTATATTAAAAAAAGCATGTTCACAGACTTTTATACAAGGTCTCAGGTTAAATATTGAATGAAAGGGAAGTCATACCTTATCTTATGTTGCAGGAAAGGAAGGAAGGAAGGAAGGAAGGAAGGAAGGAAGGAAGGAAGGAAGAAAGAAAGAAAGAAAGAAAGAAAGAAAGAAAGAAAGAATTCAAAAAGAGGTAGCGCTTTTTCCCAGTTACTCCAGTGCTCCACCTCTGAGAATTATTCAGTAATTTCTGATTTGCTGGCACGAATACTAGGCTATTTTGTTACCATCTTATAAGTAAACACTCATACTTAAAAACTGGTGTAAAAGTTGGAAACAAAATTGCAAACTCAGTTTCAAGTAGAAAGTTGGCTACTAAAGAAGAGCATCTAGAGTCTAGATTTTATTGTATTCATCATACCACTGAAAACATGTCAGTGAGATGTGCACAGATTCCAGAAACAATCAAACTCTAGCTTTGCAGAAAATGCAAGGTATTTTATACATCATGGAAAATGACATTCATTCTGGATTGCCTGTCCTAAGTTATGTACCTTGTCATTCTTTACTTTCAACAGGATAGACAGGTTAGAAGAATCCCCTGAGGTGATGGTGATAGTGACTTGTAAATGATAAGGATTTGTTGAATGTGTTACATATAATTTCAATATTTTATTTAACTATAAGATAGGTAATATTAGCCACATTTTGCAGATGGGTAAACAGAGATGGAAAGTAGCTTGTCCAAAGGTCTTAGTGCCACAGAGTGCAGGCCTAATTCCCAATCTTTTGGACATAGCCAGTCTAATCTGGAAAGCACATTCTCCTCGCTATCATACCCTGAGCTTCTCAGTTATTCTGCTCTTCTAGTTTCACAAATTGTCTAAATTAATTGATGAACAAAAACGTTGGAAATCACCTAAAATTTCTCTCTCTCATTTCCATATGCATCACCAACTAGTCTCTTCCAGTTTCATCTCCCATATACTTCTAAAATTTCCAACATCCCTAGCATTGTTGTTTGTTTGTTTAGCAACAAGGTGTAGCTTGTTAAATAGCTGTGGCTGGGTTTAAACTTGTCATTCTCTACCTCCCAAATGCTGGATTACAGGAGTAAAACACTGTCTCTACCTAGTTTTACAGTAAAAATTTTATTTTATAAATTATTACTGTGTCAGTAACAATTATGTATGTATGTATGTATGTATGTATGTATGTATGTTTATATTCCTTGTGCAGAGTTGGTACATGTACATAACCCATCTTAATTCATTTTTTCATCCTTCTCTGCCTTCCTCCTCTACCCATCTCTTGATCTCTTTCCCTGTTTTCTGTATGTGTCTGGAGTGCATCCAGTCGCTGCTTGCATAGCATGCTGCAGTGGTTTCTAAGTGGTATCCAATCTGCCACGCATCCCCTGCTGATCTGTGCTTGACATCAAGCACTCACCCGGTGTTCCTTCGTTGTGTACCAGCCTCTAAAGGGTCCTTTCCCATCCCTACAAGAAATGGCCTCAGCTTCTACCTCCTCCTGCCTGCTCTTCCAGCTCCATGTTTCTGTTTGCAGATTCCAGCAAAACTTACATACTCCATGCAGTTCCTTCTGTCCATGTTCCGCTCACCCTTGCCGTAAATGTCCTCTCTCATCTCTCTACTTGGTCAGTTCTAATACGGTTCAGACATTATCTATAGAAAATTTCTTCTGTGTCTCCCCACTCCTGAACTTCTCTGTTTTTCACGCACTCTCTGATTTTGCTAACCCAAAGCATTAGAATAATACTTTTGTGTACCTGCCCTTTCTAACCATACTGACCTCCTTGAAGACAAAAGCTATGTTTTTATCCATATTTTTATTCCTAATACCATAGAGTAGGTTTTCTGTGAATGTTGAAAAATTTTGTAAAATATTTATAATTCTTTTGGAAGTTGAAGAACTTCCTAAATTGGTTAAGTCTATGATCTGTGTAATTTTGAACAAATAGCAAAAGAATGTGTTAGTCAGGCATGGGGGTGTGGGCCTGTAGTGCCAACTATTCTGGAAGTTGAAGCTGAAAGTCAGTTTGGGCTGCATAGATAGAAAGACATCATCTAAAAAAAGAAATGTATTAATCTTTATATAAGTTAATGCAGAAAAATTCCAATGTCAGTATAAAAAAGCGATAAAAGTCAGTTAACAGAAGATTGTTACTATTAGTGGTAAATTTTGATACTTCCCTTTTTTTCTGTACATGTTTGGAGTACATCTGGTCACTCTCATATATTGATTCTTGTTGTCCTATATTCTGACTTGTTTTATGGGCAAAAGCACTGGATAGCATCCTCATACAATTCATTTTTGAAGTGGTAACCATTCATGATTAGTCCTTCCTTAATCTTGCCTTCAGTTTACCTGAAAACATAACTCTTCTTGTCCTTAGAGGGAATAGAACTTCAAACTGTCAAAGTGTTTGATCATGGGAGAGGAAAGGAAGAGAAAAAGTGAAATCTTGGGTTAGCAACATGTGGCACATTGCTAGCCAGTCTTGAATAGCATTGTAGCCCAGGTCTACAATATCATTGTCAAGGATTCGAGCACAGGGAGCAGCAGGGAGGAACTGGGATGAGGTGACATCAGGAGGGGGGGGCATGTGGCTTGGGGCAGGGTGGAAGGGTCCTGGAAACTGGGAACTGCATTTCTTTGCTTAGAGCAAATGCCTTATTCCTATGAGTGAACTGAAGCCTGGCTCAGGGTGTCTGAAGCCGATTCCTCCATATGGTGTAACATCCCCTTCCTTTCCTTGTAAATCAAGTTCTTGCACTCAAGAGACAGATTTCCTAAGCAAGCATCATGGGGTAGGAGGGCTTCTACTCAGTGAGTGACTCTGTGTATCCCTTTCCTTTCAAATATTCACTTATGGTCTTTTTCTTGTTGCATATCCTCTTAAGATGACGATTACTAGAAAAAAGTTCCAACTGTTGCTGGATTTAGAAAGTTAAAGTAAGAAATAAATTATAATAGCTTCTATTATTACCTTATTATCTGGGTCATATGCTGATCTATGTTTGGAAGCTAACTTTTTTTTTTTTAAATTCTTGCAGAAATACTATCTGTGTTTCCAGAAACTGGGAGCCTTGGAGGAGGAACAGACATCACAATTACAGGAGACTTCTTTGACAGTTCTTCCCAGGTTACCACTGCAGGTAGCTGTTGAAATGGCTAGATATGGTTCGGTCTTAAATTCTGTAGGACCTTATGCATCTCTCGTGCCTAGAGGGGAAGAATTTGTTCCTCTCCATTATATCATATCACTAAGGTCTTTACCTGTTTGTCTGAGGCCAGGTGGAATTTTGGTCCTGTCACTCTGCAAGCATGTTACAGGGACAGGATGTCCTGCAGAGGTGCTCACTATATGATTCCCTTGTCTTGAGGTTGAAGGAAGAACCTTTCTTCACCAAGGTTTACTTCTACTAAAAAAGCAACCTCTCTCCTTAGCTGGAGTGGGTAGGCATTTGCTCTGTAAAGTCCTCTGAAATGCTCATTGGGTAAGCTCTTACAGTACCTGTCTAGAACCTTTTCTTCCCCCAGATGGGATGGTCCTCTAGTTGGTGACACATAGTATGAGGCAATGTCTTAACATTCATGTCACTTCACCCTGCTCAGCTCAACAGTTCAGCACATCCCCAGTGAGTCTACTGTGAGTTGCCCTGTGTGCAACTGTTCTCTATTCTCCCTTTCCTTTGTTTCCATTGGATAACAACTTTTACTATTTTATCTTAGAATAGGACTCTTTGACTTCATTCTTTCCTGCCATCATATTGTTGCCTATCTATCTAGATCTGTCTGTATTCTACGAAATTAAAAAAATTCTTCTTAGGCATTCCATGTGATATCAGCCATGTGTCTCCCAGGAAGATTGAGTGCACTACCAGGGCGCCAGGAAAAGGTGCAAGGCTCACTGCTCCTCAGGCAGGTAAGGAAGTCACCAGGGCTGCTCAATGAACTTGCTTAATCAGGAGGGTCTGGGAGTAGACACAAATGTGCTTGAATTCTGTCTCAGTTGTTTGGTTAACTCAGCGAACGCTGAGTGTACATTACCATTGTCAAAGCTTTCATATGTGGGATGCTTGACTCAAGAGCTTAGCAACACTGTACTCAGGCCCAGTTGTGTGGCAAGTCGAGTTCAGTGGATACCATGATCCAGAAAACATCACCAGGCACAATATGGTAGCTGCTGAGTAGCCCCACAAACTGCTTCCTTATATATCATGGGTTAGAGTTTCCTGTGCTCCTTGCAACAGAATTAGACAAAGCCAGAGACTGGGGCAGAAGAGGGTGCATTTAAATGTTGTTTTATATTCCCATGAGCATCTGTCTGTCTGATGTTTTGAAAAATAGAGATGTATGTGACACCAGCATATACCTGTAATAAGCAGAAGTAGAAGAGGCAAGGTAGAAGGTCCCACCTGTTCTTTGTTTAAAGCTTCCATCATGGCTGCAAGAACATTTCTGCTAAGCATTAGACCTGGAGTCTTGAGTATGGTTGAGGATTACTGTAGCTGGCATTGTTTCGGCCTAGATCCACAGTTGTTCTTTTTTGCACTGGGGCTTACTCCATGGGTAAACTAGAAGCAGTGAGCATCAGCTTCAGAGGCTCAATACCTGCAAAGAGAGTTGCCCTATAGGAAGGAAACCTTCTAAAGAAAGGTCATTCAGAGGTGTGAAAATGCAGCAGAACTTGCATTGAGAATTCTCCAGCTCCCAGATCTGCAGTGTTTATTTGAGGAAGGTGCCCATCCAAGGGAGCAGAACAACTAAAACAAGTAATCAGGAGAATGTGTGTTTCCTGCAACAGGAAACAGAAAGCTTGCTCCTTTATTGAATGATTCCTGCTTTCATGACTCAAGTAGTGGTGGGTTAATTACTAACTGCTTTTGACAGTTAGTAATGCCCCTTATGAAAAGCTTTTAGAGTTTCTTCCATGGGAGTGAGGCACAGTACTGTGCAAACCATTCCACAGAGGTGGGGAGGTGTGATTTTGCCTCAAGAGGACATTTGGCAGTGTCTGGAAGGAATTTTGACAGTTACACCATGGGATGGTGCTGTGCCACTGTCATCTGGAGGGTGCAGGCCAGGGATGCTGCTAAACGGCTTGTAATGCAAGAGGGTCACCTGGTCTAAAACGTTAGCACTGGTGAGGCTGAGAAACTCCAGGGTGAAGTAATGTTTTAAAATATGCTCTCCATTTTCTGCATATCCCTTATACACCTCTCCATCTTAGTAAATGAGGAACTATGATCGTAGTTTAGAAGAGTGATAATTATCATAGCTGTCCTTTATAGTTCACTTAGTGTGGTTCAGGCTGTTTTTGTAGGTGTGTCCAGCTCCACTAGTCCTGGTGTATTGTCTCTGTCTGTTATTTGCCCCATTTTGATGCATGAGGAACTGAAGACACAGAGAAATTAAGCACAGGGGCTCACAGCTATACATCTAGTATGTGCAGACATGGAATCTGAACCCAGAGTGATATGAGCATAGAGATTTTACCTTCACCCAAGTCAGGGTCCAATGCTGATTGTAACTGTACCTTTGGCCTCAGGGTTTTCTTTATGTAAACGCAAATTGGTAAGTACATTATCTAAAATGTCACATGGTAGCAGCATGACCCATAATGAAGTCCACGTACAGGTCTATAACTTGAGATCATGGTACTTAAAAAGGTTTAAGGGTTGTCAGATTCTGGGAAAAGGACTTTATGGAATATAATTCTCAGGATGAACTTGACATTAAAAGATATTGATGTGTACTTCAGGCTCTGGGACGCACAAAGCCAAGTCATGCCAGAGCCATTTACCTTGTCCTTTTCCACTCAACTGCAGTGTGTATTTCTCTTTCACATTTTTTTTTTTTTTTGCAGTACTTGGCTCTTCTTTAAGTCTGTCATTAGAAAGGGCTTCTTACCCTTTGATTCTCTAGGACTCTTTCCCTCACTATTTCTGAACAAGACCCTCTTTACAAGAGGCTGAATTCTACCCAAGGACTACTTTCTGCTTCCAGATATTTGTAATATCTGTAGAGTATCTCATGTGACTTCTCCATTTGGGGTTGTGAATTGTATCTGAATCATCTTTTACTCTGATTTGGAATATGCTCCTAGTTTGGAGAGGAATGTTTCTGCTGGTTATGAGATACATATATCTTACAGGCAATCGAGGGCTTCTTTTTGAAGTTGGAGATGCTGTCGCAGGCTTGGAACTGACAGAAGCCACCCCTGGGTACCGGAGGCAGATTGTGCCTAATGCTAGTTCTTCATTTGGATTTTGGTCAAAGGAAGGACAGCCTTTCAGGTATGTTGTAGGAAAAGCAGGAGTTCACATCAAAAGCATATTTACCAAGTTGGTGAAGCTGGGGTATGGATGAAAAAGGCAGTTAGATTTCCAGGGGAGAATTTATCACTCCAACCAATTCAACAATAGAATTTGAGGTGTTTTTCAACCATTGTTGGTTATGCTAGCAATTCGTAGATCATTTGTAGATTCTAATTCAACTATTGATCAATATGTAAAATTTATAGTTTTTAAAATTCTGCAATCTGATTTAGGGAAATGATTGCATGTTGCTATATTGAGCTTAAAAGGCCAGGAGACTTGGTGGTCAGCAGAGTAAAACTTGCTGTAGGTGTGTAGTTGTGGTAAGACTAACTTCTGGCTGACACCAAAGACAGACGTGTGCAAGATAGGTAACTATACCACTAATCTCTGTTAGCTCATTGAAAAGAACAGTTTGGGCTATTATTTTTCAATTGTTCTATCATTTTTTATGCCTAGATCTTGTAAACTGGACATCTCCATCTAAGAAAACAATATGCAGAATATTAACTAGTGTTGGCTTGTTACTGTTCTTTTGGAAATTCTGTATTATTTCTATCCTTCTTCTGTTTACTTTTTAAAATAAATAAAATTCTTAGCCATTGGGGTCTCCGCTGGAAAAATCATCTACTAAAGAAGGTTGATCCAGCCACCATGTATAGGTGGAGGCTCTCTTGTGGGCTCTGAGAGCTGTAGTTTTCTATAGTAGCAATTACTTGTGATCATGATTTTCCTGGATAGTTTTGTTTTGATTCTTTATAATTTCTTCAGTGCCAACATTCAGAGTCTTGTAAAGTGATCTTAAATAGAAAGCATGAGCGTTTCTTAGACACTGCTTCCTTGGTGTTCCCGGAGTACAGGTAGAGGGATGGCTCCTGTACAAGGTGATGAATCTCCTCCCTCTTCAAATCCTCTTCAGGGGGCCACAGGTGACTTTAGAGTGTGAATTTTAGCTAATCTGTGACCTCCTCCCCAGAGGGTATACTGTAGATAACAAATTGTGGAGTGAAAGCCAGGGAGAAAAGGTAACCAGTAAAGAAAAGGGTGCCTTCTGAACCTTATTGGGTAGATACTTAATGCAGAATTTATAGTTTAAAAAATGAGACTCATTTGGGGCTCCACCATAGTGCCTAATATGCACCTTCCCATATTTTTTGAGGACCATTAACAAGATTTTGAAAAAAACTGTTCAATCATATTTAGTATGTAGATGAGGGAGTCAGACCACCTTAAAGGGCAAAAGAACCATTTGTACTTGCATGGTAGGATTTGTAGGGTTTTTTCTTTTCACTGCTATTTTGAGGAGTTATAAATCAGAAGGTAACTCATTTTTCATTCTTTCATTCATTTTTTGAAAATCTAAATGTTTAAAATAAAAATTGGAATATTTGTTTACTGAATGATAAATTAATATATTGATGGACTTAAAAAAGTTAATTTCATTTTGTTTTGGTACTGGGAATTGAACTCAGGATCTGGCACTTGCCAGGCAGGTCCTGTGCCACTGAGCTACATCCCCAGCCCAAAAAGTAATTTTTGAAATCATTTCAAATATAAAATGTATACATTCTCTAAAGATAAAAATATATACATTAAGGCAAAACTTAAAAAAACTCTTTATATTGAGGATCCATGGATTAAAAAATATTTTTATATTTATTTTGGCAGTTTGATCATTTTAGAAACCATCTCTCTAACATTATCACTAGAATTTATCTTAACTATGTAAAAGAAGGTTTTATTTTAAAAATGTTTCATAATATTACCTGCAATATTTCAAAGTTGCATTTTATGGCTTTTAATTTGAAATTGTCAACAGCTTAATTCACTTCTTTAGGGACAATAATTATTTCTAATTGGAAAAATATTCTGCAGGTATTGAAGTATCTGGTAAGTTCAGATCAAGTTTTGGTCATTGATTATTAATAATAAGAATAATATTTGAGAGAGAGAACCAGGAGATTCACCTCCACCTGCTGGACATTGCCACAGGAGGGCCCCTTCCTGTGGGCAGCCAGCATGGGCAGAGAGAGCCAGCAGATCCACCTCTGCTGCTATCCCCCCACCCAAAGGAAGGCCCCTTCCTGTGGGCAGCCAGTGCAGATATAGAGAACCAGACAGATCCACTTCCTCCTGCTGGGCATGGCCACCAAAAGGCTCCCTCCTGTGCAGCCAGCAAGAGCAGGGATGTGCAGCCAGACAAGCCCTGTGCATCAGTAGGCCACCATTGGAGGCCCTTGGTTCCTTTGGGGAGCCATCATCCACCAGACAAACACATCCTATGTACCTGCCACCATCGCAGGAGTCCCAGTGTAGATACACAGGCTCAGAGAAGCAGCCTCATCTCTATGCATCACTGATTATGAGGGAAGCCCCAGTGTAGCTGCACAGGTCTGGAGAAGCCCTCCCCATACCTTGGTACCCTCATGTAAATCTGGAATTAGAGGATCCTAGGTGTCTGTCCCATCCCCCTACACTGTGGAGGGGCAGCCAATGGGGGAAGTGCCTGGGACCCCACAACTATCTTGTTGGGAGGAACCTGGAGAATGTCAAGATAAAGGAGCAAAAGGCAATCTCAGACCCCCAGCCCTCACAGAATCAGTCTGGGAGATACAGTCATGAAAGAAAATGGAAGTCATATACCTGAAATCTCTGGGAGGACAGCAACTGAAGTAAGGAAACAACAAATTAGAAATAATGTCTCAGTTCAAAGGAGAAATCACAAACATAATAAAAGAATTACTCAGCATATCTAAAGGAGACATAGATGAAAAAGAGGAGCATATGGTTTCCAAATGATGGAAACCTTGAATGAATATAGAAAGGAATTACAATGTGTAAAACAGATTCAAAGAGAAATCCACGAAATTAAAATGTCAATCCAAAGCTGGCCAAACCACTTGAAAGAGGCTGAAGATAGATTTTCAAATCTAGAAGACAGGATTGCAGCTAGTGACCGTGAAAGGGAAGATCTCTTAAAAATAATAAGGAATCAAGAAATTACAATTCAAAGTCTGCAAGATGATGCAAAGAAGCATAATTTAAGAGTAATAGGTATCAGTGAGGGAACAGAGGTCAACACAAATGATGTTAAATGGTATAGCAGAAAACTTCCCAAACACGGGAAATGGATCTGGCATGCAGATAAGTGAGGCATATAGGATTCCAACTAGCCATAACCAAAGTAAATATACACCAAGATATATAATAATCAAGATCCCAGAAATTCAGCACAAGAACAGAATATTAAAAGCTCTTAGAGAAAAGAGACAGATCACCTATAAAGGAAAACCAATCAGAATCACAGCAGACTTATCAACACAAACCATCAAGATAAGAAGAGTTTAGAGTGAAGCATTTCTAATCCTGAAAGAAAATAACTTCCAACCAAGGTTGATCTACCTGCAAAACTACCTTTCAAAATTGATGGAAAAATAAGATATTTTCATCATAAAGAACAACTGAAGGAATTCATGCCTACCAAACCAAAACTACAAAGAATGCTAAAGGATATTCTAGAGAGAGATAAAGATGCCCATGGTTCCAGGAACAGCAGCAAAGGAGGATTGCCAAACAAGACAGGCAATTGAATGAAGGGAAAAAGTGAAGAGCCAACAACAGGAGGGTAGCATGGCAGACACAAACCAGTGTGTGCTGGCTGTAACCATTAATGTAGACAACCTCAGGTTGGAACACAGGGAGAGGGAATCAAGAAACATGATCCATCAATATATTGTATACAAGAAACACATTTACCTGAAAAGGAAATTCATAGACTGAAAATTAAAAGAGAAAACAATTGTGCTATGTGACAAGAGACCAGAAAAAAAGCAAGAGTAACTTGCAATCGCAGAATGGATAAGAAAGATACGGTATTTTCATGCAGTGGGAAGCAACCCAACTATAAAGTAGAATCATCTCGGGGCTCTTGTGGGTAAATGGATGCAACTGGAGATCATGTTCATGGGTGAAACAGTTGGAACTCATATGTGTGAATCCTAGCATAAGAAAAAGGAGTTAATGGGATTCAAAAGCAAAATAGTTATTGTAAGAATGAGAGAAAGGTGGTAGCTACTGTTAATTTCTTATTGCCCTGTCTTGAATGCTTACATTGTTTTCATAACTTTTTTTAGATTTGGTTTTGTTCTGTCTTGTTTTGTTAGATTTTACTTTTTCTGATGGTATGGGCAGCTATTTTGAACATAATGGGATGTATTATGGTAATCACAGTTGGTTTCCTATTATATTGTTTTGAAATCTTATGATGTTTTCATTTGTTTGTTTAATTGGTTTTATTCTGTTTTGTTTTGTTTGATTTCGTTATGTGTGGTGGTATGAACAGCTATTTGAAGGAAATATTGCTGATTTCCTATCATCTTGTTTTGAAGTCTTACTATGCTTTTGCTCTTTTATTTTGATTGGTTCTATCCTGATGTGTTTTACTTGATTTTATTATGTGGGACAGTATAAACAAATTCTTTGAGGAAAAATGAGATATTATAGTAGCCATCGTTCATTTCTTGAAGTCCTGTAATGCTTTCATTATTTTGATTGGTTTTATACTGTTTTGTTTTGTGTGATATTATTATGTGGAGGTATGGTCAACTGTTTTGAAGAAAACAAGAGACATTATGGTAGCCACTGTTGCTATACTGTTGTCTTGTTGTGAAATCCTGTGTTGCTTGCATTGTTCTGTTCTGATTTGCTTTGTTCTGTTTTGTTTTATTTTCTTCTCTAAAATAAAAAATTTAAAAAAGAAAGAATAATATTTAATAGTGACTGAGTTACTGTAGTGGTCCATGGTCTACACTGGCTTGGTGGGTGCTTTTGTCAGCTGAATTTTTGTACAGTCGTATGCTGTGGCCTCAAATGAATTTGTGTCTGTGTGAAGACAGACACTGAGACTTGCTAGTATGTCATACTGTGGGCTCATTTAGAATGTGCTGGACAAGCATGTGTGTAGAGTCAAGATTTCTCTTTGCCATTACAATAAAGAAATGCAAAGTTCAAGGGCAACCATTTGTTGCTTTGTTGATTTGTGACCTGGTTACTCTTGCTTGACTCTATTCTTTTGCTTTACAGAGCACGACTCAGTGGATTCTTTGTGGCTCCAGAGACAAATAATTACACATTCTGGATCCAGGCAGACAGCCAAGCTTCCTTGCATTTCAGTTGGTCAGAAGAACCGAGGACCAAGGTATTCACCTTACTTTCTTTTTCTTTGTCCTCAGTCTTGTATCCTTGACTAAAGGAAGAATTAAAACCGAAGCTCTCATGTTTTTATGGATAGTTTTAATTTACCATTAAGTGACCAGGGGCTTTAAATTCTGAAAAAAATTTGCGTGAATTATAATGGTGTATACTATTGATTGAGCCCTTACCTTAAACTAGTCCATATATTTTTTGTTTTCACTGTATCTCTATGAAATACGTATATTCATTTCTACTTTGGCATATGAGGAAATTGAAGCTTTGAAGAATTGTATGGCTAATCTAGGACCAGTTGGGTCAAATAAAGAGACAGGATTCAAACTCAGATTTGTCTGATGCCAATCCTTGTGCCTTTTCTACTGAATTTGGGCAGAGATGTAGCTAGCCTCATGCAGAAATCTCACCATCAACTTTAAAGGTTAAGAAAAGATGCCTCTAACAAGCAGCCAGAATTTATTTGTGACTTTGACAAAGAGCCACAGTGTTTTAGTAATCTTTGAAATTGACTTGCTAGTTGGTTGAAAAAAAGTAATGGATTTGTATGTAGTGAAGTCATTCTAGGTCTCTCAAGGACTTAATGTTACTTTTTCACAAAACAGTAGGTGTTAAATTGGCTGTTCCTGCTCTAACTATACCCATTTAACCTCATTTGAATACGGTTCAGCAGACATATACATGTGTGTGTGTGTGTGTGTGTGTGTGTGTGTGTGTGTGTGTGTATATATATATATAGAGAGAGAGAGAGAGACAGAGAGAAAGATAGAGAAATAGAGACAACACAGATGGAGACACACAGAAAGAGAGAGGGAGAGAGAGAGAGAGAGCGACAGACAGACAGACAGACAGACAGGAAGAAAGGCAGGAAGAGACAGAGAGACAGAGAAGCATAAAAAAACCAAAGGGCCAAAGTAAATTAACTTGTTGGAAAAGGCTGACTTGTTGAAACACTTCAATGTTAGTGGCTTTGCTATGTTTCCTATTTGAGGAAACAATGCCCAAGCTTCCTGATGTTGATTTTGATATACTTACTGGACTTAGGTGAAAGTGGCCTCCATTCAGGTTGGCACTGCTGACTGGTTTGACTCCTGGGAGCAGAGTGGGAGTGAAGGGACCTGGCAGCAGAAGAGTCCCAAACTGGAACTGTTGGGGGGAGCCAGGTACTACCTGGAGGCAGAGCATCATGGGACAGCCCCCAGCAGTGGAATGAGAATTGGTGTCCAGATCCACAACACCTGGCTGAATCCTGATGTGGTCACCACTTACCTCCGAGAGAAGCACCAGATCAGTGTCAGAGCCCAGAGACTTCCAGAAATACAGGTTTGTCTCTCTTTCCAGTCCTACAGGATTGAGCTCTGGGGAGAGGAAAGAGTTCTTTTTTGCTCATAGAATGACCACTGGTTGAGATCCAGTGAAGCTGAGTTGTAATTCCAACTTCACTGACAAATATATAGGATGTCTATTCAATTGGACCATGTTATTGATGTTACTTTACTCATTGACTTAGTTTTAGAATTTATGTAACAGATCGTTTTTTTTTTTTTAACTTATTCCCTAGAGTACAGTTAACGTCCTTCAAACACACATACCACACACCCACACACACCCATACAGGCACACACAGACACACACAGGTACACACAGACACACACACACACACACAGATATCATAGCTTTTTAAGTGATTCAGTTCCTAGTTACCTATGTTTTATGTTTTCTAAGTCTAATTCATAAAGAGTTTTATGTGCCCCATATTTTCTTTTCCTTTTTTAAATTTTATTTTAAAGAAAAAAACCCCAGTAAAAACAGTGGTAAAAAGTTTCAAAACAAGATTGTAGGACAGAAGCCAGGGATTTAGCTCAGTGGCATAAGCCCTTGCCTGGCTAGGTCATGAGTTTAATCCCTGATACAAAAAAAAAAAAAAAAAAAAAAAAGATTGTAGGAGAGTAACAATGGTTAGTGCATTGCAAATTGTTATTTTTGTTGAGCAATTTCATTGTACTTTTTGTTCATTTTTTGATACACAATATGAATCAATGTGAATTATGCCTTCTAAAGTCTCCCATTTAACAGTAACTTGTATGTGAATAGCTATAGAACAAGGTAGAAAATAACAAGTGATTTAATAGGTGAAAAGTTAGAGAAGTCACTCCAGGTAATGTGTTCTCCAGAGAATGTAGGAAGCAAAAGATTGCACAGGATCCGGGACAGGACGGGTGCCATTGCCTCCGGGCCACTGCTGAGAAAAACAGTTGCTGAGGACTGAAAATGGGCCAAACTTGATGTCTCCCACCCTAGGAGAAGGGACACAGAAAAGCAGTGAGGCAGTTTATTCCGAAAACTGTTTCCATTAGGTGATGACTGTATTCTTTCTAGATGGTAACACATGCAGAAAACTTACCGGGATAGCTGGCCGAGGAGGTCTATTCTGCGTTCCTAACCTGACTCTCGGGTTTCCCTGGCACGTGTCCATTACTCCTGTTCTCTTCACTTCATAGACGCTGACTGTATCAGGCAAGGGGGACTTTTCCCTTACTTGGGACACCATTTCCAGCCAGCCACTTCCTGCAAATGCCACCGCTCACCAGGTGGGATCCCGCTTCAGACAAGGAGGGTTGGAAATGGGAGAACTAGGGGCAATCTTTATGCCTACGGTGTGAACTTATGGTATTATGTTTCCTCTTAAATAGATTCAAACCGCCATTGAAAAGTTACTTGCAGTAAAATGCAAACTGGAACCGCCCTCAGCTAACATCCTACTTCGACTTGGATTTGAACAAGGTGTTGCTGTTTGTTGTCTTTTTACTTTCTATAAAATAGGAGCAATCTTCAGTTCCGTCTAAGGAGCTAACAGAGTCAAATAAAATAGGAAAATGGGTTTTGGACACTGACTGACCAAGGCAGTTGCTCCATGCTGGGGAGGGAGGAGTTCAGTGCAGTGACTAAGGAAAAGCGAGCCAGTCCTCATGACACTAGGAGGTAAAGCGTGGCCCAGATGTTCCCACGCTACACAGTGGGTGAGGATGCAGATGTGGCGAAATACAACTGTAAAATCTTGTTTAACTCCAATTGCACCTAAAGGAATTATTACCTAAGAAAGTCCTACAGAGTTTAAAATGTGAAAATGTTTTAAAAATTATACCAAGGTGAACTAAATTCCAGTTGCCATATATATACATATATATGCATATATATAATTTTTTTGTTTTTTTGCTTCTCAGTTGGTATTCCTGTCTTGGCACACAGGGAAAATGGTAATAGAATCTTATATTTGTGGTTGGACACAGGGTTTCTCACAGTTGGGGCCTCTGAGCTGGGGATGCTGGCTGCTCAGGCCCTCCTTAGGTCTGTCTCATGAGGACTGAAGAACCAAGATTACATTGAATTCACACTCACTCTCCGCGCACACATTGACAGGCTGTGTCTGGTTTAACACCCGTGTTTGTCTTCTTGTTTTATCAAACTACATCCAGGTCTCGAAGGCTCCAGCTCCCGTGGGGACCTCACCAGTGGGACAGAGCCCTTCTGTGGCAGATTCAGCCTCCGTCAGCCTCGACACCTTGACCTGATCCCCCCAGGTGCACAGAAGGGCTATTGGCTGGATCACTACCCACAAGTGAGTATAGTTCTCAGGCTTCTAGCTGGGTATGTGGGAGGGGTCGGTCTCTCTGGGTTGGAGACCAAAAATCAGAAACACAAAGAAATGATTGCTGGGATTTGCCCAATGCCTTTTTAGCTAAGGCTCTGGGTGTTTTAACTGCTGTTTCAGGTACAAACAGATGCACCTTGCCATCACTACAGAGTTGCTATCTGGAAATGCTTTTGCACTAGCTTTAATGATAAGGGTTATGGAAATTTTTATGTGGTTAGCATTTTGTTTGATCTCTATGCATAAGTGTAGACATAGCTTTCTTGTATTGAATCTTGATCCTTCACTCTCTGTGCCATCAATGACTTAAGTACTGGGCCTTAGTTTTCTCATGTTTAAAAGGGGTAATTATGTCAAACTCTCAGGTATGTAATCAAGAAATAAATGAGACCTTCTGGTAAAGTGATTCCATAGAAGCAAGGGCTTGGTAAAGCTTAGTTATTTTTATTATGGTTAATGTTATTGATGGATTGACAAACACATTTCTTGAACACTTCTTATGCCCTTTGCTTCAGTAGGTCTGATATCCTTCACAAAAGAGATTCAGCCCATTTGTCTTTTGTGATTTAGAGTGAGTCTTTGTGGGGGTGTGAGAGCTCATAGTAGTAGATTTGAGTCTTTCCCTATCAAGCAATAGGGGAAATTGGGAATCAGTGGTTTTGGCCTGGGGCCTCCCCTATTTTCAGCCTCTTTTCCACTGCAGGGTCTTCCAAGGGGGAAGTGGCTTTGTTCTTTTAGGAGAGAGTTGGAAATACAAGCAAATATGCTTAGTTATGACAACTGGGAAAGTGCTATTGGCATCTACTATAACAGGTAGTAGACAGAGATGCTGGTAAAACTCCTATACCATCAGGACAACCTCCACAATGAATTACCCTGTTCCCACAGTTTCAATTGTACCCATGTTGAAAACTCTTTCCCTAATGTCTTCTCTTGCCAGATAAGTTTGTACTTGAGTTAGAAAGCAAGGATGCTGGGGTTGTTAAAGAAATGTTCAAAGAGGATAAGTGAGTTGCTCACATCTGCACAGGTTAGACGGAGATTTTTCATTTGAGATGCTCTAAGATCCTCAGAGCCAATCACAGAGTCAGGGATTTAAAAACTCTGCAGTGATTGTAAGGCCTTCGAATTGGGATTTCTCCTGCTGGCACACGTGGTCTGGAGAGCACTGGAAATGCAGTTCTTGAACACCTGAGCTGCTAAGGAAGCCTACCCTCTACTGCAGCGTGGCAGAGCCAGGACCCAGTCTCAGGCAGGCCTTCCTACCTGTGTGGGCCCTGGTGAGGGAAAGAAGGAACTGTCACTGGCACAGAGGGGGGTGGGGATGGACTCTTTCTCAGGGGACAAAGATCTTCAGCTTAATTATGGGGAGGATTTGCTAAATGAGCTTTAAAAGGAACATTGGTTTTCTAACCTGCAACTTTTTGACACCAATTATTCCTTTTAGTCTTCATCTGAAGAAATAATGTATGTTGAAGTTGCTGGATTTCAGTTCAGTTAATCTACAAATTTTTCTTTTTCAAAGGAACAATTCTGAATGTGATTTCTGTCATAGAGCACAAGGGGCAGAGTTTACTTTTATATTTTTCCAGTAAGAAAGAGGGCTTACTTATTTTGAATAAGGAGTGATTATTTAATTAAAAAACTCTGCTGCATTACATTTTTTTTGGCCTCAGAAAAAGCCTTTATTGAATTTCCCCCAGTTTTATCGAAGTAAACAATAATTCGATCTAATTTCTTTGTGTCTCCAGCGAGACTGATATGTTGTAGGAGGGAAGGCACTGGACTCCTTCCTTGTACGCAGCTGGGTCTAGAGATGGGGAGACTCACTGCACATTGTTTAAAAGGCCAATTTTTGTGCTAATGGAACTGAGAAACTTGTTTGGTCTCCATAGCTCTGCATGGCATACAAAGGCCACAGGAGTACGATCCTCAGGATGACTGTATCTTTCATCATCGGCTTTCAAAACATCACAAAGACCAGCACCTGTGACTTGAGCCTCATGGGAATCAGCCCCCAGAGGTAGCTATTCCGCAGGAGGTGGGATGGGGGCTCAGCCTGCTGGAGGATGGGGATCGACTGTCAAGTGGACAGTGGTCCCTTGGAACAACTAACAATCTCATGTTTGTGTCTCAGCCAACTTGGGGCTTTACACTTACTCTATTTGACAAAGTATTTTGGCTCAATAACAGGTAGCTATTAAGGCCATAGCAATTCTTAGCAGCACTCTGACATTTCTCCTCGGCACAGAAACATAGAATGCATTTGGGAGAATTTAGGGGACATTCTTTGACACATAAGGAAAGTTGGGGCCTAAGAATTCTTCTACATGCAATCGGCTTGTGACTCTAGAAAAAAATTAAGGAATTATTGATTCAGTGTACTTTCCACATAATTTCTTGTGGTTTGTGTAAATGATTTTAACCTAAATGAATTAGTAATGTCCAGGAGTATCAATCTTCCTTATGGTTAGAACCTAATATATATTTTACTTAAGATTCACAATTAAATTGTGATTTTAAAATGCTGCTGACACTGTTGTAAATAAATGATTGTTTTAAAACGTGACACACTAGTATTACAGCCAAAGCAGAATGTGTCGTAGGTGGGATGTCTGTACCTGAGGCACATGAGCTGTGTGGGCACGGAGCTCACAGTCTCTCTCCTGGCTGCAGAGTCCTCAGGAGAGGACTGCAGGTCTTACGGGAGGCTCCTTCCACCTTGTGCTGTCTGCAGCTGGCGGTTCACGTGCACTGATCTTTGGGATATGTGTGTGTATCACTCCGGGAATCTCCAGATGCCTCTGGTCAAAGCCTCTGTGCTGGTTCATCAGATCTCCCTCTTCTCGGTGGCCCTGGAGACGGGCTTGCTTTACTTGGATGAAATTATCATTGCAGACACAAACCTAACAGGTAATCAGCACATCTGCTGTCTTCCATGGGCTTGTCTTCAAATTCTTGCCTTCAGTTGCCTGATAAAGATTGCTGTTCTTTTAATGAGGAGGGGACAGGTGATTTTCCACCTTGCCCACTTCTGTTCTGAAAGCAGATGGGGTGAAAATTCCCACCTTTGGTCCTTCATCTTTCTAGCTAGTCCCTCATTTTCAACCTATTTACTTCATTTTGTTTCCTTTCTTCTGGTGCTTGTGCTCTTACCCCAACTTTTCCACCTTCTAGCAAGGAAGTTTTGCTTTCCTCACCTGTGACATGGGTATACTATGAGTTCTGCCTTATAAAATTACTACAAAGATCAACCAAAGTTTAATAGAAAGCACTCAATATGGGTCTTAACCATAGTGACTGCTTAAGAAAAGTAAGCAATTATTAGTAGTATTGTTAGGCCAGAAGGATTTCTTCATCTTTTCTCAGGTTAATATATATCACAACAGGTTCTAGAAAGAACTCAGCAATATTTAATATTGTGTCTGATTTACAACCTTCAAGACAAAGCAATATTGCAAAGTGGAGCATATTTTTGAGAGAAAATCTCTTTCTGTCCATATAGACTTCTCCTAGTCGTTGTCCAGAGCTCAGGCCTCCTTTACCACAGAGTTCCCTTTGTCCACTATCGGGTGCAGAGCCTCACCCACCTCTGCTTCTCTAGGGACAAAGTGCCCACCAGGGCCCTCCCAGAACTGCACACATGTGATGTGTACCACGTGCTAAAAAAGATTGGTGCAGCTGGCTCTCAGGGCCTCCGGACTGCCTCCTGTTGCTTCCTTCCTTTTTGTCAATTCTTTATGACTTCAGAGCTCAGCTTTCCTGTTTTTTCATAGCTTCTCTCCCTGCAAGGACAAGAATAGGATAAAATAACTTACATTTTGATTTTTAAAAGTATGCAAATTTTAAACCTTTCGCCTAAAAATATCAGGTGTGAGGGAAAAGGGAGCTCAGGGTAGGTAGCAACAAAACTCCACCAACTCTGGAACTGCATCATCTTTGATACTCATTAAAATTCTACTTCTTATTTGTCTCTGTGTTTTGGCGGGGATCATTTAGGATTGCTTATTATCCAAAGTCTGTGTTTTGGCACACTTAGAAAACAACACTATCTAAATAGCATGCTGAGATACCCACCTGAATTTGTTGGCTTTAAGACAATCGGCTGAGGCACTTTGGAGGTCTTAAGTCTCTGATCAGATTTTTAGATGCAGAGGGGTCAGTAATTGATACTGCATATACTTGAACCCACTGCTTGGAAAACATTAGCTGGATAATAGCGTTTCACTTTCTCATCTGTCTCCCTCGACCATCATCCTGCCTGTCCAAACCTTTAAACCTAAAAGTCCGGAACACATTTTCCTTGTCCCTACCTCTTTGCCACCAAATTCTCTGTGGGTGTGGAACCATCCAGTGGTTCCTCCAGAGGTGAGGAAGAGAGCTGGAATGAGGGTGGGCTCAGAAAGAAGAGTGGGGTGGGCTTGGGTGAGACTGCTCGCCACTTTGTCAAATTTCCCTCCTGGGAATGACAATGCATGTGTGTGTGTGTGTGTGTGTGTGTGTGTGTGTGTGTGTGTGTGCATGCACCTGTGCATGCGTGTATGCACCTGTGTATACATGTACATATGCACACAGACACAATGCTGGGATGAAAATCAGGATCTGAACTTGCCAGGTAAGTGCTCTACCAGTAGCCTACACCCCAGCCCACTGACTTTGTTCTGAGGATTAGTACTGGAAACAAACTCTGTATAGTAAAACTCAATATTCATGATTAATCGTATGCCATTTAACTGAGCGATTTGATATTTAGTTATATTCTCTTAGCTAATGTCCTCTATGAAATTTCTTCTTTAATTTAGCAATAGCTCTCATTTATTTTTTTCATTTAGTTCTCAGAGGCCTAGGAGATACTCTGTGTCCTACTATCTCTACTCTATGAGGAAACCAAGGTTAAAAGGAGTTTGTTAGCCTTTCACTTTTTCCTTCCTTTCCACCAAAAGCTGGGATGTGGTGGAGGTCAGAACGTAGGCATCACCGACATTCTGGCTGGGTCTTCAAGGGCTCCCTACCCAGTTGAGCAAATCATCCCTGTTGTGTTGCACTGGGAATGCAAAGATGAATCAAACCAAGATGCCTTTGAACTCTTTATATCTGAGCTACAATAACTCTGGGGAAAGAAGCTGTCTTTTTACCTAATGCCTACTACCTTAAGAGATCAAAAGAATATTAAAATATATTGCATTAGCCTTTTTTAGTTCTCGTACTCATTTCCTGCCATGGAGATTGCTGTCAATCATGAATGTCATGATTTACAACTTACAGATGAGAAACTGAGGTTTATTTTGATTAGCTGAGTGGGTACTCAGCAAAAATAGGAAATCAGGTTTTGAGGAGTGATTTCTCTGAAAGCTTGATGTCATTTCCCGTACTCCAATCTTTATATAAACCCACAAGTACCACTGGTGTGTGCCCTGTGTGTTGTGTGTTCCCAAAGAGGAACAGTTGTACATCCCTAGTTGCCAAGTGTCACAGAAAGGAAAGGAGGAACTGGGGCCATCTACACTGTGACAGAATATCTGTTCAGGGATGCCTCTAAGAGCACAATCGATGACATTTGGCTTATCGAACTTGGTTGTGCAACTGATGTTCATCTCCTTAAATTATGATCTTGCATTTTCCTTTTGGTGCTGAATCATATGATGTGTCTCCTCCCTCCTCTCCCTTTGCTTCATATATCAACAAGTATAGGAATCTATAATTTAAGCGCTCATCTTCCATCTTGAGTTATTGATACTAACTAGATCATTGGTCTCTAGTTTCCCAAGATGATTCTGCAACTGCTCGCCCAGGAGGAAATCTGGTGGAATCCGTCTCCGTGGTGGGGTCCCATATGGCCTACAATATAACTTCCTGGGTGGCAGGATGCGGCGCAGAGCTCCCCCTCCTTACTGCACGGTAGGGAGTAGTTTTGGTACCCTGCTCCTCCTCTGGACTTCTGACTGTGGGGGACTCAGAGGTGGGGCTGAAAATACAGCACCAGCCACATCCGGAATTCTTGTATACACTATCTTGTATACATTTGTATACACTTTGGGTCCCACCTCTAAGGCAGGCATTTTGGGGCAGGATCTGAAAATTTGAGGTTTAATGATCTCCCTGGTGATGCTAATTTTGATGACTATGTTTGAGAACTAATTTCTATTGAATTTGTTTAATAATGTTAATTTTTAATGCTATTGATGGCTTCACATTAATACTATTTTCTGATTATTCCCCTCATTCCATTTCTGATACACTGAACCTGCTGAAATTCTTTAAAGTGAAATGAAATATCGCGTTTTAAGAAACAAAAATAAGCCTTTTGAGAACTTACCACCAGATGGCACTAGAGCCTCATGAGCTTAGCTTCTCAACCATTTCTAGCCAGTTTGCAAAGCAGTAACTAAGGATCAGACTTCTTGAAGTCCCTGGAACACATCCATATTTTAATTTGTTCTGTTAACTTTTCACTGAAACCCAAATAGGATGGGAAGAATTGAGACACTCTGATTCTTTACACAGGTACTGTGTGTGTGTGCACGCCCCCATCCCTTTCTCCTGTATTTCAAATTAAGTTCTCATACCTACAACATGCTGGATAGTGTGTAAAAGGCATGTGAAGATAGCTTCAATGTGTGTTCCACTTTTCAGAAGGGAAGGTTGGCAGGACCATTCTAAGTGTCAGCCTGTTCAAAGTAAATGAAATTGAACTCTGCCATTCAGAATTAATAACTTTGGCATTTAGAGTCAACCTTCCCTTCTGAATTTTCCTTGAGTCCCATGGCTCCCCTGGAAGCTTCCGGCCTAAGCCAGACAGGATCATCTGTAGAGTGGGCTCTCCTGAGCATGTGGCCCGGCCCAGGCAGCATCCCTCTGTCCATCTTTTCCCTGTGTGTTTAGGCTGTATATCAATATGCAGTGTTTAAATAATACTCTTAATAGAAACTATATATATCAATCATTGAAAATTTGGGAAATGAAAATAAACAGATAGAGATAAAAAACCATAATCCCAATGCTGAGAGACAATGTCTATTAATATATTTGGCTATATGCTGCCTTTTGCCTAATGCACTTTTGTGTATATATATTTATATGCATATATATGCATACATATATTCATAAACATATATATAAAATATATATTAGCTTTTTAAACATTAGATTGGATTATATATTACATATTATATGTGCCACATATCTTTTTGATCTAATTCATAGACTAAATATTTCCTAAATTCATTAAATAGCTTGGTGAAATGATTACTAATGGCTTCTAGAACAAAAAAAGGCAAACAGGGTATCTTATCAGCACAGATGTTTATTTCTCACAGTTCTGGAGGCTGGAAAGCCCACTATCAAGGTTCCTGCAGACTCCTTTCCCTGCTCATAGAGAGCACCTTCTCTCCACCCTCACATAGAGAGCAGAGAATGTTTCCTGGCACCTATTTGTAAGGATGCTAGCCCCCTCCCTGGGGCCCTCTCCTTGCAGCCCAATCACTCCTCCAAAGGTCCCACCTCCTCACGCCATCACCTGCATGAAGCGTGACTAGGAATTCAGTGTGTGGGGTGTAGGTGAACATAAACATTCAGACCATAGCAGTGGCCCCATGGTAATCCATCTCATGCTGTGCTACACTTTATTGGACCTACTTATATGAAAACCAGGATTGGGCAGGCGGTGTCTTTGTATAGGAGAACTGTGCAGGAACGCAGTTAGCTAGAGGGGCCATGCAGCAGCCAGAGATGCTGGGTAGGGCAGTGCCTACGCACCAGGAAATACTGTTTTTGTCTGACTAGGTAAGTGGGACTAGAGAAAGCCAAATTCTCTTTCAAGTCAGCAGAACCAGAGTTGTGGTAGCTGAGATCACTTGTTCTCCATCTTTTACTCTCAGAATCAGTGCTGAGTAAACAGAAGATGCTTGCAAAGATTCCTAATGTTTCTACCATACTTGTTCTGCTGGGCAGGAGAGGCACACTCAGTGTTTAGGAGCCTGGGTTCGTAGCTGGCAGCATGGGTGATGAGCTGGTCTTTGAAATGGAGCTGTAGTATATTAGGATAGGCACATTGTGATGGCTACTGTGGTAAATGTTTGTTTTTGACCTACTGCAGCGCTGTGCCCTCTGAAGGAGAAGACTCTGGGTCTGTCCAAGTGATGACACAAAGACTGCAGAAGACAAGTCCCCCTTTGGGAGGACACTTTCGCATCCAACTTTCTAACACAGTGATTTCTGGTAAAGACACAATGGGGGGATACAGCACTTCTTATTTACATATTTAGGTGCATTCCTGAGCAAACAATCTCCTACAAAATTGTCCGATAGGGTGACAATTTTAAATTTATTTTATTTTTTTTCTGGTATCTAGAAATAGTCTTCTTAAAATTAAAGATCTGGAAAGGGATTTATATATTTATTATCCCAACCTTTAAATATTGTGCATATAGAAAATGAATGGATTAGGTTCCTGGGACTATCATAACAAATTTTGACAAAATTAGAGACACATACTATAGAAATTTTTTCCTTTCCAGTTCCAGATCCAATAGACCATAAACAAGTTGTTGGTGGGGCCACACTCCCTAAAACAGACTGTAAAGAGGTGCTTGCTTCCTGCCTCTTCTGGCTTCTGGTTTATTCTGGCAATTTATGGCTGTGACCCCATCAGTCTACCTGCTGAGTCTGTCTTTTGTGAAATGTTTTCTAACTCGCTTGTAAGGATATATATGATTGGTTTAGGGCTTACCTAAATACACAGGATAAACTCCTCTCAAGATCCTGAACTACATCTTCTGCCACACAAGGAAGTAGTCATTCTTTTCCCTTGTGAGGAAACATTCATATGTTCTAAGGATTAGGACATCTCTTGGGGTTACCATTTGACCAGCGACATTGAGATTTGCTCAAGGGCCACATAAATAGTTGACAACAGGGGTTTGAATCTGTGTATGTGTGTGTGTTGTAGATGCATGTAAATCTCATGTCCATCCTCTTCTCTTTAGAGTTTTCTAGACTAAGATCAATTATATCAGTGTCCTCAGAGTTAAACTCAATAATTACACTATTTGTGGCTGATTTTAGTGGTTTCCACAAATGTGGCAAAGAGATTGCTAAGGGAAATCAGCATACTGTTTTAAAACCTCCAATAATACACATTTTCCACAAAGTACTGTACAAGAATTGGAAGTGATAACAATGTTACTTATTTGATAGAAGCAGCAGAGAACCAGAAAGGGGACTTGGGAATCCAGGTGTGACTGTGTAAAGATTGGTACATGATCCAAGGCTTCTCTCCCAAGCAGACTGGGCTTCCAAGGGTCTTTTTGGGTGCGAGAGACAGAGAGGTGTTTTTATGATTATAGGGAAACTTAAGATAAGTTGAAGGCACCTTAGCTTTTGAAAGCTGATAAATGATCAAGTGCCTGTGTGCCCTGCCTCTCTGAACCCATTACTGGGCTGGGTATCTCTTCTCAAAAACAAGATAGATGATCCATGGACTTTTTGTTACCAAGTTTTATTGCTAAAGTTCACCACATCACTGGCTCAAGGAAAATGACCCAAGGAAAGTCAGCCCTATCTGGCCTTTTGAAATGGCGATGACCCAAATTATGTATAACTATATAAAAGTGTTCTTTAAATGATGAGACATTTGTGTGCAGTGCTCACATGCTGTGGTACTTTATTAATGTTTTGGGGCAGTGTGGAATTCAAGAAGGCAGGGCTGGAGTGGGTAGAAGGCAACTTGGGTTTTAATCTAAACCTGTTGGACTGGCTTTGCCAGCTTTTGAATATCATTATGTTTCGTTTTCTTCATCTTTAAAGTAGGCATTAGGGTACCCAAATGACCCACCTCACAGGGCTGTTGGGAGAAGCTAATGAAATGGAAACTTTTGGTAAAGCATGAAGCAGAGTTCAAACACAGAGCTTTGTTTTTGCTCTGTGGGCCTGTGGCATGGGGAAGCAGGTGGTTGGGCTTAAAGAAATTCTAATAGAGAAACCAAAGTAAATGCCCACATTCCTCAGCTGGGTTGGTTAAGTTTTATGGGTGTCAGCTGCTGTGTGGCTCCATGCTTCTTGTGAAAAGTGGCCAAATTTTCTCTGTTCATAGGACCAGCTAAATTTTTCCAGGGAATAGCCAGATTTAATTAGACTTTCACATTTCGAGTTGACAGTTGAGATTGTTTGTCTGACATACTGTTTTTCCTGCTTGTTCTGTGATATGATACTGAGGACAGTGTATTACAGTGAAAAAAAAAGTGGGCATCTGCTTGTGTTTGCCTTGGGGGAAAATGGAACTAGGGCTGAAGTTTCTCTTAAAGTTCTGTTTTGACCTTGACAGACGCTTGCAAACTGACAACCTGGTTTTTATTCTGCTATCCCTGATGAGACTCTGCAAGATGGACTAATTAGTGCTTTGTGTTTTTCTGTAATAAAATTTTCCTTCACAGATGTCTCTGTGCACATGTCTGCTGTTCACCTTCACAAGCTCTTGCAGGACAACGCTGACGACTTCACATCCAGATACCTCAGCGCTGGTGACTTCACTGTAAAGGAAGATCTAAACTCTTGCTATGAACATGTATGGACCCTTTCCTGGGCCACCCAAGTTGGGGACTTGCCCAACTTTATCAAAGTATGTTTGCTGTCCCCTTGGGGAGATCATATGGATTTGGTGCCCTGGAGAAATTTTGTAAAAAGAAAACCAAAATTATATGAGTCAAAGCTATCATGGGTTTTTCATTTTGAAGGAATGCACAAGGAAAGAACATTTATTATTTTTATTTCCAGAAGTTTTCAGCACATTAGTTTGCATCTCCCTTCTCTGATAAAGCAGTTTAATGTAATGTTTCCTTTCTGAACCTGGTGTGGTTAGAGAAGTTGTTGGTCAGTGTCCACCACACAGTAATTCCACATCTGTTATCAGGTAATTCAAGCAGATGTGATTGACTTAACTGATCATGCAGGCAGATGGAATACCAGAAGGAAGTGGAGAAAAGGATTTGCTGTCTTCGGATAATGATAAAACCAGATGCTCTTGCATATTTAGGACCTTTAAAAATAATCTAATGATCATCTAGCATTTGATTATTATAAAATGAGGCCCAAAATGAAATATTATCCTGTTTATATGGCATCATAGGCTATCTGGTTTTCAAACAAAATTCTAGGGGGGAGACAGAGGAAGCATGGGAGTCTTTGCTGTTATGTCAAAGCAATGTTTTCTCCAATTTTATTTTAATATGTTTGATTGAAAATATAAAATAGAGAAACATATGAAGCGAAAATAGCTCAAGAGTTAGATGTTTTATTTCTTTTAGCCTTTTTGCTTGTAAATAAGTATCCTGCATATTTCCTGGTGCTTCCGTTAGCTACCACTTACTGGTAGCTCTCTAGGTTTCAATCTTTGTCGCTTTCAATTTTACTTTCTAGCTCTCTGATTTATTTCAAGCATAGTGTGCAAAAGCCCTTATCAATTATTTTAACTAAGCATAGATTTCTGTCTCATGGCAGTTCACTGGCAATGTACCCATCCTAGGTCTCTGATCAAAATCTCACTGGTGTGAATCCTGCTGTAGCCATTCGTGTGGTGTATGATGGTGGGGTTTTCCTCGGACCCATATTTGGAGACATGTTGGCTGCTGCTCACCAGCACACTCAGGTGAGTTGATGAGCCCCCCCCAAGGTAAAAGCACCAGCTTCCTGTCTGTCTCACTGGTTTGTAATGTGGCCAATGACTTAGATTCTAAGGCTCATTTTTCTACCTGGTAGAATGGGGGCAGTTATGGTTGTGCTCTTCCTAACTTCCACAGGATAGGCAAAACACTATGAAAATATGAATATTCTGCTTTTTCACCAGAATAGAATATTCTATTACAGTTATTGATGCTGTTGTTATGGTACATAAAACAGAGAACATCTATAGCTAAATATGATTTGTGCTTGTACATAGTGGTATTGCAAAGTCAATAGGAAAAGTCAGCTCCTTTTGTGTTTAAAAGGTGTTTTTAATCTGCTCACATTCCTATTATACATTATCTGATTTTAATTTGAGAAAAATTTAAAATAGAAAAAGTGTAAGGAATACTAGATTTTAGTTAGTAATTTACACATGGGTGCTAAAACTGAGGGTTAGCAATTCTCAGTGTCCTGATATATTTGTACTTTTTAGTACTTATGAAAAAATAAAACTATGGATAAATTAAAGTGTTATTTATTTTCTAAGCTATTCAACTATCTCTTTCATAAAGAAACACTATCATAAATATCATTGCAGTTATTTATTATCTAAGCTCTTTAACTATTTCTTTTGTAAAGAAACACTATCATAAATATCATGTGTGTTTTAACCCGTTTTTATATGTAAAGAAACAATTGAGTTATGTATTTATCACATTCTTCATTTCTGAGTATTGTTTGAGATAACAATTCCAGTAGAACAGAAAGATGTACATTGTTTTCTTAGGGAGTTATCATTTTAAAGCAAAAAGGTCCCAAATCAAATGTCCAAACACACTTTGGTCTTTAGCTAAGTGTTCAGGTAGTGAAGGTGAAGGAAGGTCTCTATCTTATTGGTTTTTACTAGTAAAGAAAGAGTGTTTCACAAGACAGACAGTTGAAATGACTTGGTTGCAAATAGTGGGATAAGCAGACTTTGTGCAGTTTAAGTTTATAAAATTTACTTCTAGATTACAGAGAGGAAATTTACTAAACTTTAGCATCTTTTGCCACGTGTGGTGCCATGCATCTACAGTTCCAGCTACTTGAGGGAGAAGGACCACTTGAGTTTAAGAGTTTATAACCAGTTTGGGCAACATCATAAGATGTCAAGTCAAGTTAAAAAAAAGCCTATTTAATTAATTCTATAAATGGATTTCAGCATTTCTACTACCATTTTAAGAAAGCATAACATGTTTTGAGTCATTTGTTACAATTTAATATTTATGGCCAGAAAAATAGAAGAAATAAGTGAGAATAAGTGGATTATTTCCACATTTGAGTTTGGGGAACCTTCATAAGCATTTAATGGCTGCCCTCAGTGTATGCAAAATCCATGCATTTACTTTTAATTCTTTTTGCTTTTTTGTAGGTGGTTGTGCGAGTGAATGACATACCAGCTCAATGTCTGGGTTCCTGTTCTTTCCGGTACCTCACAGGGGCAACTCCCAAGGTTCATTCTATGCGGTATTCTCTTGGTATGATTTGTGACTTGGTTCTGACCATAATTTTAGACTCAGTGATTTTGTTGGAAGTTATCCCTATAGATGATGATGAGTGAGTAGAAAGTGCAATCGTTCTTTAAGTGGAGGTTGACTGATACAAGAAAAAGTACATTGCTTGGTTTACCTAAGAGATGTAATTTTATTACTTAAAATGGAGAAAAGCTGGTTTTTTTGATGACTTCAAGTGTTTTATTTTCTTTCACCTTTGTTTTGAAGTATTCTTGATTCTGTCTTTGTTTCCCAATGACCTCAGTCTGAGAAAATTTAGGAAGGAAACTGCAGAGCATGATAATAAATTCGGATGTCCAATATTTAAGTCAAAATTCAATTCCTTGAATTTTGTGAAGAAAAAGTGACAGAGATCAAATGCTTGATGTTAGAGTAGGTTCTCTTAAACAGAATTATATCACTGAGAGATGATTTTGTTTCAAATTTCTTTCTTTTTTTTTTTTAGATGGTGACACCAGCCTGCTGGTTTATATTACTGGAACTGGTTTTTCAGATGATTCCAAGTCTTTCCACGTTGTGGTGAACAAAACAAGTTGTAAAGTTATTTTCTCAAACCAAACAATTTTGGTGTGTCAGACAGACCTGCTCCCAGTGGGAGTGCATCAGGTCTCAGTGTTGATGAGACCCTCTGGTCTAGCGGTCAATGCCAGTGGAAAAGGCCTCCTCCTATACTTGGAACCCAGACTGGATGCTGTGGAGCCTTCCAGAGCTGCAGAGATTGGTAATCTGGGAGATGGCTGTACTAGACATCTGATCCTCTGAATCTAGTGTTCTTGCCTGTATACATAGATCTCTTTATGTATTGTAACTGATTCCATATACATTAGACTTCAAAGCTCTTTATTTTCTAACTATTTCTTCTATTAGGCAATAGACATTTGAGCCCTGAAATGAACTCACTTGTCATGTAAGGGACTATAATTTGGCTGGTGGTGTCAGCCATAATTAGATTAGAGTGTCAAGCACTGTGTCTGTTGGCCTAGCGGAACTGATGCTTGACTGAGAGCTTGGACATGTCCCTGGTCCTATTGCAAGTCACATATGTTACCTAGACATTTTATTTACATCTATGGGGCTTAATTTCTTAAAAGTAATAACGATAGTAGCAACAGCATCATTTACTGAGTACCTTTTCTAAGGAGTCCCACATCCTAAATACTTGCAAGCGCCTAAAAGATGGAATTACTGCTCCCATTTTTCAGGTGAGGAAAGGCTGGTTCTCAGAGGAAGATAACTTACCTAGAATTTCATACGGAAGGAGTTGGAACTGGAGTGCAGCCAGAAGGCTCTGATGTCATACTCGTGTTCCTTTTCTGTACCACACTACCTTAGAGCGTGGCTTAGTGATGCTTCCTTTATTGGATCCTTAGCTTTGTATGAGAATGAGTCAACCAATGGGAAAGTTCCTTTAAAAATGAAAACATTTGGTGAATGTGAAGTATCAGCCTTTCCCACTCACTAGGAACTTTGTACCTAGTTGGGCCTTCGTAAATATGCATTAGGAGTGTACTGATATATTATATAATGATGATGTACATTGCTGAGGTACACTGGGTATTGGGTAACATGCAAGCCAACTACTGTTTGAGGAGTGGAGAATCCAGGGCAGTAAATCTAAACCACACTACCCCCATACGTTGAGTCTTAATTGCATGGAAAACTTGTAATCTCAGCATAACTTTCTGATTTATAAGGAACACATCTATCTTAAAATAGCTCAGGCTCAGCTAGACTTTAAGAATTTCAAGAATACGATACTTATGCTTGTGTTAGCTGGTGTATAAGTTTTGTAGCATAAATTCATTTCCTTAGTACTTTAGATCTTTGTCATTTTTTCTAGTGGCCAGAGACTTGAGGCTCATAATCTATAAATCAGTGTACTCTGCTCACAAACTAATTATTCAAAGGAACAGTTTGTTTCTGACAGCAAAGAGCATATCACTTAACAGAAGGAGTCAGTGGTCCACCCCACCTCATCTGATTAGGAAACAGAGTGAGCTCTTATTTCTGAATGGTTTAAGGAAGGAGCCTAATATGTGGTACTCAGAGTAAAAGATCAGATCCTGTATTAACCTGATAGTTATTAGCTTGAGTTTAGGGCATCTACGATTTTTCTCATGAGATTTATAGATGGTTTAGCCTTCTTACAATGTTACTTTTTCAGTTCAGGCCATGCTGACCTCCTTCAGGTCTTGCCACTAGATTGATGACAGTCACCTGTCTCCCTTACAGACTGTGCCTACAAAGGTAGGGAGGATATTGGTCCCAGTTTGTCCTGGACTGATGAGTTCTCAGGATAAAAACCTTTCTATTTTAAAATCAAGACCAAGAACCTTAATGCTAAAAATCAATCCCAGCACAATCAGTCTGAATTGGTCATTTTATCTGGATGTAGTGTACCAATAATACCAATAATACATAGGGAAAGAATTTGAAGTTGTGAGGGATCATACGTCTTCATCTTATATTTAACCAAAGATGGAAAACTCTGAGAAGGCCTAATGCCAGGTGGGTTTTAACTTCATTTAGATCAAGGAGAAAGGAGGGAGAGAGAGGCTGTAGCTGCTTTTTTCCTTGTAGCTGCATATAAACTTTCCCAATTAACTCTGCCACCTACATAGAATCAACCAGTGTTCATCACTCACTCAAGACTAATTGTACCACCTGTGCAGAACCCTGTGCTGGGCACTGAAGACCCTCGGATATAAAATGTGGTCTTGGGTCAATAGTGGCTGTATTAGTTGGGGAGTTGTTAGGAGTATAGAGTTTCAGGCCCTACCCTACACTCTGAATCAATCTATTTTAATAAGATCCTCATATAGCCTCTATGTAGCATAATTTCTCAGCATCACTGCTGTGGGTGATTTAAAGAAAACCAGGCTGAGGCTCATCAACAAGGAATTTATAGATCTGAGCATATAATGAATATAGTGATCAATAATAGTGGAAATCTTCACTTGCCCATATGCTGAATCATCCTCAAAGGTTTTATTTATTTTTTATTTTTTTCACTATTGTATCTATTTGTTCAACATAAAATACACAGCAATGAATACTTTTTCACTTAGCAAAAACAGTGAGAAAGTTAAAACATCTTCTACATATGACAGTTAATCAAATTTGAAGGTAAACATTACTAATTATAATTTTTAACTGTATTAAATGCACTGATAAATTGATTTCCAACTACTTCCTATAAGTTATTTTAAAATACAAATTACAATAAGTATACATTTAAAAATAGATAAGTATACTGCTAATCTGTTAGTTCATCAAAAATAACCGTTTGTGCTTTCATTATTTGACTGTTTGAACATTTTTTTATGTGTATATTTTTAAAAATATCTTTAAAAATTATTTTGAAGGTAGTGAAATACAATAGAACAAGGCAGAAGAAAGCCGTTTGAAGTGCAGTGAAATTGGTACAGAACATCAGAACAGGTTACCGGGATAACAGTATTAGGTACCATAGTATAACTTGTTATCTTCACAATAGTTGTTCTTTCAGTAAGATATAGCAAAATCAAACCAAATACAGAATATTATAGAACTTATCAAAACAGAATGTTGACTAGAGCAATACAATTAATCAGAACAAAAGCAAAACAGTGATAACAATATTTGCAAAGAGATGGTAGAAGGAAATCCCCTTATTTGCTGTATTGCATGTGGTCAACCTCCCAAGAGATGCTCAGAACTCTGGCTCCCATTTGCTAATGGGGGCGGAGGGGAATGGGATGTTTGATTCTCAGTCTGTGGTAGGCTCATGGCTGCTTATCAGGGAGGTGAGCGGGTTGCTTTGTTTCCCTAAGTTCCAACATGACATGGATCTTGGGAGATGCTGGCTGGTTCTCTCCCTGGGGCGGCCACTGCTTGCTTGAGTCATGGCTGCTTCCTTAAAGCTTTTATTAAAGACAACTGTGGCTTTGCCTTGTGTATTCCCTTAGGTACTTTCGTGCTCTACATATAGTTGGCTTCTCCTAGTTTTGGTCCCTGTAAAGCCTTCAGGAAGGGGAGGGGCTGTAGTGATAGAGGGTTGGTTGTCGCAGGATGAGCATTGGCATTGGAGGAAGGACAGAATGACCTTGGAGATCAGAGACATGAATACAGTGATGGTGTGAGTCCTGAAAAAATCTTGGGGAAGAGAATTTGAGGCAGAAGCAATATCAAATGATGTCCTGAGTCAGAATGTGTTTATCTTGTTCCAAGAACTATGAAGATATCATGGTACTTGGAAGACACAGAACTAGGGGAAAAGGCAGAAGATAATCGGGAGCAGGCCATATGACCCTAGGAGCTGGGAAAGACCATTAGCTTTTATTATGCATGAGTTATGGGTCAGTAGAAAATTTTAAGTGGAAAGACATCATCTAACAATTTAGAGGTTGTTCACCTCACCTTAATTCAAGAACATTTTCATCATCCCCAAAAGAACCTTGTACTCATTGGTAGTTTCTCACCATTCCTTCATCTTTTTTTTATTTTAAAGTGAATAAAACCAAGCAAAATACAGGAGAGCAGATGCAATCAAAACAAACCAATGTCACACAGGACTTCAAAACAATACAAAATTAATATGGGTTACCATAATGCCTCTTGTTGTCTTCAAAATAGCTGTAGATAACTTCAGACATAATAAAAATCAAACAAAACAGAGCAGAATAGAACGAATAAAAGCAAAATAATGAATGAGATAAAGGACTTCAAAACAAGGCAATAGTAGGTTCAAAGTGGCTACCATAATATATCTTCCTATCTTTGAAACAGCTGTCTATGACATTGGATATAACAAAATCAAACAAAATGAAACAATAAAATCCAACTCAACAAAACAATGAGAATGATACAGGACTTCAAAACAAGATATTAGGGAATTAACAATAGCTTCCACCTTCAGAAGGAGATCCCCATAGATGTCATACTGCGTATGTGTACCATGGTCCTCTGAACAGATGATCAAACCACTGGCCCTAGATCTGCAAGGTCAGTGAAACACCAAACATCACAAGCATCAGATTGTGTTTCACCTCAATAGCTATCATGGCAGCCTGTGTTTCTCCAGATCAGCTGGAGGCTTACAAGGTGGGAGTGTTGGCACTTCTTGTTTCCCAGTCCGAGCCAAAAAGGGCATGGCAGCTCATGCATGGTGCAGGTTCTCAGGGAGGGCTTGCTTCTTGGAGTTCTTTTTCTCTTCCTCCACAGTCTGTGAATGGCCCTGACTCAGGGGAGAAGGCTATGCTCTGGCTCTCCACTCTCCTTCATCTTTTAAATTTCTGACAAGCACAGAAATATTTTGTTTCAGTCAGGTTTTCTTTTATAGTTATTTGAGATAAATAGAATCATACAATATGTGCTTTTTGTGCCTGGTTTCTCAAATATATTTTGAAGGTTCATCTTATATCATTTCAATACATTCTATGCATAAATAGTATTTCATTATATGGATATACCTCATTTTATTTATCCATTTATCTCATGATGTGGATTTAGGGTGTTTTTACTTTTGGCTATTGTGAAGATTACTACTTTGGATATTTATGTACAAAGATTTATGTGGATATAAATTTTCAATTCTCTTGGCTAGGAGTGGAATTACTGTATCACATGATAGCTATCTTTTTGGGAAATGGCCTGTTTCCAAAATAGTACATGATTTTACATTCCCACCTACACTACAGTATTTTCACGTCCTTGTTAATAGGTATCATTCTCTCTCTTGTTTTTCTTCTTCCTTTATTTTTAAATGGAGGATCTCATTATGTTGCCCAGACTGGTCCAGAACTCTTTGGCTTGACTGAGCTTCCTGCTTCAGCTTGCCAAGTGCTGGGACTGTAAATGCATGTCACCACACCTGGCTCTGTTATTTTCTGTTTTTTTTTGTTTTTTTTTTTTTTTTTTAATTTTCTTTTCATAGTGACCATTTGAATAGTTGTGAAGTGATATTCACTGTTGATTGATTTGCACTTTTATAATAATTTATGATGATGAATATTTCTTCATATACTGGTTGGCTACTTATTTATCTCTTTGGAAAAATCCTAGCCAAAATCCCCTGTCAATTTTAAAAATTAGAATATTTTAATTTGATGGTTGAGTTGTATTTTTTGTATATTGTGGATATTAACCTCTTATTAGATATATGATTTACAAATGTTTTCTCCCACTCTGTGAGTTGTTTTTTCACTTTTTAAATAGTGTTGTTTGAGGCACAAGTGTTTTTAATTTTGGTGACGTCCAATTTATCTTTGGTGTTGTTACTTGTGTTTTTGGCTTCATACTTAACCATTACCTATTGGTGTTACAAAGACTTAAACCATGTCTTTTTAAAGAGTTTTGTAGTTTTTTCTCTTTTACTTAAGTATCTGATTCACTTTGAGTTAATTTTTATACATAGTTTAAGGTTGTGGTCTTGTGCTAGAATTACTGTAATAAGTTAGTATAAATTGCATATCTTAAACAATTGAATTTTATTGTCTTATAGTTCTAGAAAATTGGGATCAAAAACTCTGCAGCGTTGATTCCTTCTGATTAGTCTTTGAGAAAGAATAGACTCCATGGCTCTCCCGAGCTTCTGGAGGTTTCTTGGAATCCTTGTTGTTCCGTGACTTGTGTATTATCTTGACTTCTGTCTTCACATTTATGTGGCATTGCCCGTGTGACTCACTGGTGTCCAAATTTCTCCTTTTTTATGAGGGGGAATTTTGGACACACAGATGAAGTGTCATGTGGAGTATGCTACCCCTTTTTCCTGTTTTGCCTTTTTTCTCTAAAAATAAATGAGTAAATAAAACAGTGTATAGGGACACCATCATATTGGATTAGGGGCTCACCTTATTTCAATAGAAACTCATTTTAAATTAAGTAAATACATCTTCAAAGATCCTATTCCCAAACAAGGATGAAGGTTGAACACTGAGGACTAGGAAATCAATATATGAACTTTTTGGGGAAGTTGAAATGTATCCCCAAACAGGATCCAACTTTCTTCTTTTGTATATAAATGTATTATTATCTCATTTCAAGTACATGAAAGAATATTAGCACTTACTAGAAGTGTCATTGGTGGATCAGGATGTTATATATAAGCTAAAAATTGTGATGAGTATAAAATATTCTCTTTAGAGGTTTTATAATTTATTTCTATGTGTATGTAACTATTTGTTGTCTACATTGTTTTAACAGTATGTTTGCAAACTTTTTCATATTTACCAATCTCAAAGGAGAGAAGCAACATTTCAGAGTAATTTTACTTTACACTTTTTATTAAAGGAGAAATTGAATATTTTTTCATATGTTTAAGAGTCATTATATTTTCTTTTCAGTGAACTGTATATCCTAATAATTTTTCTAATTGGATTATTATTGTTTCTCTCTGATTTTAAAGAATTTTATGTATTAAAGAGTATATTTTTGTCACTTGTCTCTGATGTCTGCTTTTGCAATTCATAATTTTAATTTTAATAAAATTTATCTTACATGTACCTTCAGGGATAAATTCTGTCCTGTTTCCTTCTAGTTTTTTATACATTCTTTTAAAGTATTTGATCAATTGGGAATTTATTTTTGGTGAAAGACATGAGATAAAAAATTTTTTTGTTATTGTTTGCTTATTTTACTACTGAATATTCTATTTACTATTGAATAATCCCATAGCTCCATATTTATCTAGATTTTTTTCTGGAAACTGTTCCATTAACCTCTGTGTGAGAGTGCTCTGTTATTACTTTCTAACTCCGGTTTTAAAAAGTATATTTTAGTGCCTGGCAGAACATCTCTACTCTTATTTTTGAAATTTTGTTTTCTAGCTATCTTGTCTAACTTAAGTAAAAGTCTGTATTTTTATTGGAATTACATTGATATTCATGTTTAATTTAGAGAGATTGTGGTGATCATTATTTTGATCCTTTTAGTTTTCTTATTTAACTTTTAAACAACTTATTAGACTCTTCAGCAAAATTTCAAACTTTTATTCAATTTTTAAACTTGAGTTAGTGTTGTCAGTTTTATTTACAGATATTGGATCTTTTATGAATGTATTGTAAGTTAATCTTTTCTCAATTTTATTTTTCAAGCTAAAAGTCTAATATACTCTTACTCTTCACAGCATATATATTTTAGGATATTCTTCCTCTTAGTGACATGTCACAAATGCTGTTATGGGTTGTGTTAGTGCTCCTGATATGCCTCTCCCCCACCTCTTTCTCCTCCTCCTCCTTCTTCTTCTTCTTCTTTTTTTTTTTTTTTTTTGAGTTTTTGAGCCAGGATCTCACTATACAGTCCAGGTTGGCCTTGAACTTGTGATTCTCTTGCCTTGGCTTCCCAAGTGCTGGGATTGTAGGTGTGTGCAGTCACAACCAGCTCTGCTTCTTGCTGCTGCTTTCTCCTCATATTTAGGAGTACAAGTATCTTATTTTGTGTCCTTCACTGTTTCCTTCAGTTACCTCCTGGGAAGATGGCAAACCAGAATCATTTTCTTCATAAATTATAAGTGATTTTTCTAGTAGGACATGATGGTACATTCAGGTAGTTCCAGCCATGACCAGCCCATGAGTTCCAGACCAGTTTGGGAAGCACAGAAAGATTGTATTTTAAAAAAATAAGAGCTTTCTATTCACCAGGGACTGCTCCTCCAAATAAGAGATGTGCTGTGGTGTCCATAGGATTTTGGGATTGTTTCTCTACTTGCTAACACCTGCACTGAGGAGAGGGGCATTGCTAGGGATGCCTTTCAGAGGTCATCAGAGAAATCCGATGGCCCTGAGTGGCACTCATTTCTCATCAGCTATTTACAGGAACCCCGTGTGTGTGCTATCAAGTCATCAAATTGGAAGGGCAAACACCATCGTTTTAGATATAGGAAATGAGGACTGGTGAGCTAAAGACACTACCACAAATGACCCGATTTACCTTACAGTAATGTTCTTCCACACTTGGTCTCTCAGGAAAATATCACATTTTATAGAACTGGCAAAATCGATGTTTTAGAATTTAGCAGAAAGAATTTCAGAGACCCCTTCTCTGACTTGTGGCCACAGTGTATCATCCTTATGTTTTATTCTTAAAGGTCTCCAGGATGCATTACTACTTTTTCTACCCCCCTCATCACTGTTTGTCATCTCTCCATGTAGGATAATTTATATATTTGAATTTAGGCTTTTTCTTGAGCTTTACTATGGCTGTGTGTCTTGATGAGAGAGTTTTATATTTTAATTTATTTTTTTCACGTGTGCATAATTTTTGTTTGCCTAAATGGGCATGCGTCCTATATGAAAATGCTATTTTTGCTGCAGGAGGGCTCTGGGCCACCATCCGAGGCTCTAATTTGGAAGATGTTAGCCTTGTGCTATTTGGATCTCAGTCTTGTGCCATCAATGTCACTACAAGACATTCACGAAGACTTCAATGCAAAGTTCCACCCAGGGTAAGTGGATTACTTTGGTCGTGTCTTTCTATCTGGGTGGGTAGCCACTATTTTTATAAAGTTTTCAGCAAATCACTTATTAGGACTGAATTAAATGACATGATCTTCTCATGAAAACAGTGTGCTTTTATTATATATGTTATCTATTTTGCGATGAAGAAGAAAACTGACTGTAACTATGGGACTTGTAATGCAACCCAGGCAGTCTTTATTAATCAGTATGTTTGTTAGTAGGATCAAATACCTGCCATACATGACCTAAAAGAGAAAAGAACTATTTTTGCTCATAGTTTTGGTGGTTTCAGCTCATGGCTGGCTGGCTGCAAGGCACAGACATCATGGCAGAGGGGATGGCAGTGTAAAGCTATTTTCTTCACGATGGTCAGAAGCAGAGAGGGAAAGAGGAAACAGCAGATAGAGCTGGGGAGACAGAGGGGTGGAGACAAGACGACAGCCTTCTGGGTCACGCCACAGTGACTCACCTCCTCCCACTAGAAGCCCACCTCCTGACAGCACACCCAGCAACAAACTCATCAATGGGTTAAACCATTGATGAGTATAGCTTCTGGTGATCCAATTGCCTGCTAAAAGACCCGTGTCTGAATGCATTAGACCTCTGGAGACATTTTAGATTAGAGCATCTTGACACTGTCCTAGTCCATACTTTTGGTGAGTATTAATACCACAGCATAAGCAAATTCATCTAGCACACATTTTGGTGGTGGTTTACAAAACTTTCTTTCTTTACAAATGATAACCTACTTTTCAACAGCAATTTTATTTTCTGGCATAGGGATGTTAATGATGGAATTTAGAAAATTCTAGAATGCCTGATTGTAACAAAATATCTTTCTGGTTATTCTCTATTGCTTCTCCTTTTTCTCTTAAAGGCAAATCCTTCAATAAGGCATGGTGCCACACACTTGTGGTCTCAGTAGTTAGGAGGTTCAAGCAAGAGGACTGAGAAGGGTTCAGGGCCACCCTAAGCTATGAAATGTGTTCAAGGCCAGCCTGAACTACATAGTGAGACTGTCTCAACAGACAAACAAGCAAACAACAAAGTCTCTGAGTTTTCTTTCCTCTTCTATTTTGTGTGCCATTGAAGAATTGAACTGGGCCCTTGCCTGGTGCAGAGTCACACTAGCAGAAGTATCCGCATTTTGTTTTTGGAGATTTTGCCAGTGTCATCTGTATTTCTAACGTGCCCTTGACCCCAGAAGACAACTGTATACTGAACAAATAAAGATCCTTCAGAACATAGGGTTCAGAATATATTTTGATCATTGGTTCTTCATTTTTATCTTATCGTTCCTTAAATATTATGAAAAGCTGGCTCTTCTATATAAACTACATGCAATTTCAATATGTAGTTATACTGTAATTTTTATAAGTATCCCCTGTTTTTGGGCATTTAGATTATTTCTAAATTTTTCCTCTGTAAACAACAGAAATTTGATCATCCCAATAATTACATTTCAGAGCACATCTATTTTCTCGGGATAAATTTATCTCTGTTCTAATATCTTTGACTTGTACTACTCTGTTATTTGAAATTATACTCGTACCATCTTCATGAAAGTGTCTGATTCTGGACATTATCCCTTTAGTATATATTTACCGTGTTTAATAGGTAAAATTTGTACAGTTTGGGTTGCTTTTATAAAGAAGTTAATCATTAACAGATGAAACTTAATTCTGATTAAATTTAATTAGATTTTGTATTACTTTTATACATGAGATGACATAAAGGAAGATGGTATGATGATCACGTTTCCCTGCCCCCCAGTTCTTCTTGCAGTCCTCCTGTCTGAAATGGTCACTTCTATTTCTTTTGACTACTGCTAAAGTCATGTTTTATGAAATGACTAGAACATGTTCATCTTATTATAGTTATTTAAATGAGGCTGGAAGAGTGAGGGTATTTTTTATTTTGCAGTTTTTTTCTAGAGTTTCTTTTTTTTCTTTTGATTGATTTTTGCTTTATTTTTACTAGTGCTTATTTATCATTCATATTGATCATATTCATGACAGAGAATTTGTACATGTACATAATAAATCTTAATTCTTCTCTTTCCCCATTCCCTTCCCCTCCCTTCAACCCCTTGTTTCCTCCCCATTTACAAAAACGTTTCCATCTTTCTCCTTCCATTTATTTTTCCTTTTCCCCTACCTCCTCCCTTGTTCCCCTTCCTGTGTGAACATGTTCCTCCTACTTCCCAGCATCTGTCCTCCATTATGTTCCCTATTTGCTCTTTGAGTTTCTCACACAAGAGGAGCAATGTTATATTTAAACTTGTGTGTCCAGTTTATTTCACGTAAGATTATTATTCGAATCACATTCATTTTCTTACAAATGACTTAGGTTTATTCTTCTTCATGGCAGACCAATGCTACATTGTATATGAATATCACATTTTCTTTATCCATTCATCTGTTTGATGGGCATATGATTTGTTTCCAAGATTTAGATTTTGTAAGTTCTTCTGTTATAAACATGGGTGTGCATATATCACTGTGGTATTATGATCCTAAATAACTCGGTATCAATCAGTGAAATTAAGTAACTTAAAAAACTGTTTTCTTTCTTAACATTTTTTATTATAGAAATTCACCACCTTTTGAAAAATCTCATCATGTAAATTATTTTTTTCCTTGAAGCTCTGTTTTCTGCTTCAGTCTAGGTTGACTATTTTCTAAGTTTACAGATTTCATCTCAGTACCCCTCTTGATTGCTCCTATGTGTGCATTCACTGTTCTTTGGAATACACATATTCTTCTTTTTACTGTTATTTATCTATGGAGTATACCTTCAGAAACTTCCTACAATACAATATGGGTGGGAATTTTCTGAGTGCTTTTATATCTTTAAATACTCATACTTGACAGTTTAGCTAGGTATAGACATTTATCTAACTTGCCTTTTATTTTCAAAAGCAATGGTGTGTTAATTGCAAACCATCTGTATTTGCCTTTTAGCAGATCCTTCTGCATCTGTTCAACACAGCAACTGGCTAATTTAAACACTTGTTCCTGTGTATGAAAATTGAAAGTCACAAATAGAACCCTTTATCAACTATTTTAAGACTTTTCTTTCTTCAAATAAATTTGAAATTTGATCTTAAAAATTGATTTTTTAAAATAGAGAGGGGGAAAAAGATGAGGGAGGGGAAAAGGAAAGAAAGAAATGTAAAAAAAATGAAAAAGATTTTGTAAATGGAGGAGAAGGACTTGAAGGGAGGGCAGGGGAATGGTAAAAAAGAATCAAGCTATATCATATTTAGGAACAAATTCTCTGTGATGAATGTGATCATTATGTCTAAAATGTACCAATAAAATCTGTTTTAAAAAGGTTAAAAATGAAAATTAAAAAAAAAGAATCTCCACGAGTTCAAGGCAAGTTTGGATTACATAGTGAGATCTTCTAAAAAATGAATCAATAAATACTAAAATATAACCAGCACCAAAAAATTGATTTTTCAGGGGCAAGATGGCCACATAGTGGATGTGACTGTGTTCAGCGGGAACCATTCTACAGTTCTTCCCAGAGCATTTACATATGTTTCCTCTTTAAACCCAGTTATTGTGTCTCTAAGCAGAAACAGAAGCAACATAGCAGGTAAAATATGATGCTTCTTAATCTGTTTTGATTTTAGAGCACTGATCCTATAAAAATTCAATCAATGGCCTATGGTTTTTATTGTGTTTTGAATAGTTTTTTTTTCCTGAAAACCAGGATTCTTTTTCATGTTAGCTGCCATTGAATTATTTTTATGTATTTTTTCCTTTGTAAAATTTGGACTATTTTCATGCAGAAAGTGATGCAAGAATTCAAAGGTAATAATTCCATAAATCTTTATTGAGAATCTAGTATGTGCTAACAATAGCATAGATACATCATAGTTTAATCCTAATATAAATTTATAGAATCAATAACTTCAGTTCGTAGATAATCAGCCTATGGAATACAGGGGATAAAAAATAACTCTTCTAAAATACTAGATAAGTATGAGAGCTAAACTCTGAACACAAGCAGTCTGTTTGAAGATCCCTGGCTTTTAGCTTCTTATGGTTAAATACAGTTTTTGGTAGCAGGTTCTACTGTAGTGAGTATTTAATACAGTAAGAGAATAAGTTATTCTGAATGAAGAATAAGACTTTCTATGTTAAAAAAGGATTTATTTTAGCATCAATTGCATGAAACAGTTTAATCTTTATTTGATGACCTAGGTGATAGGCTGGGATAGAATTATAACAATTTCCTGCCATGACATAACAATATAGATTTGGAAAAGTAGCAGGTAATACACAATTTTGGTTAATTGAACACCAGATAATAAGGAGCCAATGGCAGCCACACTAAGGGTTCATTATAAAAAGACCATCATATTTCCCAAAGAAACAGCTTTAATTCAATTTTTCTCATACTATTTTCATTTCTCATAGCCGAGGAGTACATAAATAAAAGGAAGTGTCCTTTAACTTTTCAATATTATTCAACTCAGCACAGAAGAAGAATTTGCTGCCTCAGGCAACCAAAGTGTGCAAAATTCCCTAGTGGTACAGATTCTTCCTAGTGAGCGAGGAAAGGGAGGAGAAAGCTTCTTGTTATATTCAGATTTCAGTGATTTTAGATTTTAACAAAAATTTCTACCCATAATGAGAAGAATAAATACACTGCATCAGTGCCTCAAAGGCATCTAGGATTAGCTTGACGATTGACCGAAGCCCTAAGAATTCATGCTATTGATACATACAGTGTAATGCAGTCTTTGTAGAACTTCACTTTTATTTAAATCTTCCTATGGGCACAATGAAGAACACGTCAGAAAAACCACAAAGTGTGGCAGCCTTTGGGAAAGTTTCTTACACTGAGATGCTTCATATCTCCATTTGCAGATGATGCTGATGATGGCTGTGGCACTAAAAAGAAATAGAAGGGGAAAAAAAAGGCATAGGGAGGAAGGGAGGAATGGAGGAAGAAATTGATGCACAGGACTGTTACAGCTAGGTTTTGTAATGAGAAAAAACTGGATCTTAAGGGATCCTAGCTCAGCTGCTTGTTCATGAAAGAATAGTGATACATTACATTGACTGTTTATTTGAACAAAGAATGTTTTGTGAATTTAGCAGTCCTTGGAGCCGGAAGGACTTCCCAAAGCTCCACTCTACAATGTGGGCAGGAAGTGTGTACAGACAAAATGAAGTACAGAAAATCTCGTTTCTTGGGAAGTCGAGGCTGCAAGATTACTGTGATACAGAGAGTTCCTGGCTGTGAAGACATTAGCCTTACAAACCATTTCTCAATTTGCTTTTAATATAGATAAGTTAGTGCCACTTGAGTACAATTGCCCTGATGATTTTGCTCTTTATTCGTTAGGGTTTTAGGCTATAGTTCTCTTAAAGGAGTCATTAGAAATTTCATTAAAATTAAGTCGGTATTAAAATTCTTAGAGGGTTATGCGCATATGTCTTATGACCAAATGTTTAATCCTAAAAGAGTGTGTTAGAATAGAATGGTGGTTGAGGCCATAAACCCACATCACAGGGATTAATGGACTTCTGTCTATGCAGGAGGCGAGACCCTTTTCATTGGAATGGCACTTCTGGAGAATTACGCGGATCTGGATGTGGAAATCTGTGTCCAGGACACCTTGGCTCAGGCTCACACATGGACGGCTCAGGGCCTGCGGGTGGTGCTACCACCGCGGCTCCCCGGCCTCCACACGCTCTCGGTTTCCATCAATGGCATCAGCATCCACTCCAAAGGGTAAGGTGAATGCTTGCTATCAATTTTATGTTGTTTAATGGTCTGATAACTTAGTTGGGGAACTTTCTTTAGAGTTATGTCCTTCTGTTTTTTCTTTTGAAATGGAATAAAGCCACGAAAAGCATGATATTTGAACAGATCCTGGAAATCCTAGAGACTTCACTCATAAGATGGATATAGAGGAGATTTTTGGCTCATTAGTTGGCAAAAGAGGGTCTTTCTGGAGTTTGGTTGGGATCAGGGTGTGGTAGGCATGGGTAATCTGTACTGTAGATCTTGTTGGATTGTGTCTTGGGCTTTGAATATGTGGTTTACAGAGATTACACAAACCCTCATTTTCCTCTTTGTCCTAAGGCCGCTTTGCCTGGTGTTTCTCTAGACATTTTCTTTACCAATTCGAGAAAGTAGGCAAACTGTATGGGACTGATGTCCTCACATTTTACTGGCCCAGAAAAATGCCCCATACAACATCTTTCCCGTATCATTTTCCTTTTTCTTCTTTTTAAGGCAGTATGTCAACAAGCATTCTCATCACTGCTCCATTTCTCTCTTTTCTCCCTGAAATACAAAGATCTCTTCATTCTTTTTCTTTCTTTCTCTGTCTAGTTTTCAGTTATGTCCTAACGATGTCCACGTGTTTTGCAGGGTTGATCTCCACATCTGGTACATTACAGAAGTTTTCAGCATTGAGCCTTGCTGTGGTTCCCTTCTGGGTGAGTGGTTTTACATTTCTAGTATCCTTTATCTGGTGAGTCTACTCATTGAACAGAGTTCCTTTCAGGATTAATTGGCTGGTGAGGGACAGAAAAAGGAGGAAGAAGAGATTTATTTAGGCTCCTTGAACCAATTGTTGTTCGTAAAGGTGTGAAAACTTGGTGATGCCTCAGCCCAGTGAACTCAGGAAATTAAAGGACTCTTATGCACTTGAAATGCACATGGATTTTTATTAATAGAAAGGCTGAACATCTAATGAGCCGCACTTTTGAGGCCCTATTAGGAAAATAAAGGAAGAACTTCCTGTATTAGCTTTTAGACACTGCATGTACAAAGAGAAGAAATGAACTTTTGTTATCTTTACTTTTCCCTGGGGATGCACGTGAAGGAACACAAGTAGAAAGACAAATACACTGTGGGAGACATAAAAAGAAGAAGCAAGAGCAGTCACTCAAATTATTCATTTTCAGAAAAACACGTCAGCTGAGTATCAGCATATAAACAATGGTTTTGAATGTGCAAAGTAGTACATTACCTTTTTGAGTATAGGAAAATCTTTATTAAATCCTGTTGACTATACCATAGATTTGTATACAGTATTGGTTATGTTGCTTCAAACTGTATCCTAAACATGGGATTTGATCTTTGATCATCTCTCAACTAGAGAATAAGACAATGTCCATTAATATGACAATAGCTTCATCCTCGTGGTTTAGTAGCTTTTGATGCCTCACATATACAGTATTGAAAATATCTGAATGTATGATGCTCTATATAGAATGCATACACTATTTAGGGTAATATAGAAGATAAATAGAAGAACTAGATGAAATTGTTTCTTTAGCATGCCAGTTGAATACATACAGAATTGTGTATGAATACTGTTCTTAATAATCTATAGACTGGATTACAGGAAGGCTAAAGCATTTGATTTTTTGCTAGCATGTAAGCTGATTGTAGTGGTGGCTTCTAGGTTATACAAAGAACCTTGAAAAGTTTGTCTTAGATGTTTTCCTGGTACAACACTTTATTTTATTTGATGAATTTTGGTGCATCAGACTTCTGTCTACATGACCACAAGGTTAGCATTAGTGGGGGTGGAATGAAGTCACAGATTTCAGGGACCTCATTTTCTACTTAATTGTGTCACAGCTTCACAGGTGCTGTGAGTTCCTAACAACAGATTTTAACTTTTGCTTCCCATATTTATGCTTTAGGTGGGACCATCCTCAATATCTCCGGAGTAGGCTTCAGCAGAGATCCCGCTTTGGTTTGGGTACTCGTGGGAAATCAATCCTGTGACATTGTGGACTCAACAGAGACAAGCATCTGTTGTGAGACTCCATCGGCCCCTCTTTTGTCCAGTGCAGACTCTCTTCCTGTTTCCGTGGAGGTCTGGACTGGCAACGTGTCTTTCATCCATGGACCTGCACCGAGCTTAGTGGGGAAGGGCTTTACTTTCATGTATGAATCAGCAACAACCCCAGTAGTTACTGCCATGTGGGAAGAGATCACTAACAGTAGTCTGAAGTTTTATCTGGAAGGAAATCATCTCTCCAACTCAGTCATCCTTCTGGGGAACCTGAAATGTGACCTAGAGACACAGTATTTTGGTGGCAATGTGAGTCTATCTGGGTGTGCCTTTCCTTTTCACAGTCTGGAGGCAGGCGTCTATCCTATCCAAGTACGTCACAAGGACATGGGGTTTGCTAATATGTCGGTAGTGTCCCAGCACTTTGCAGTGATGCCTTGGATAAGCACTACCATCCCAATGCACAGTTTGGCATGTGGTGGGACAGTATTCACCATAATGGGGACGCCCTTCAAATCTAGAAAGAGGTCTATTCAGGTTGACATTCTAGGTCCTTTTACTCATGTGATACTGAGTTTGAGAGATGACACACTTGTCTGCCAAGTTGATCTGGTAGGTGACCACTTGACTGGAGCTTTCTTTACTTTTAACATCACAGTACTGGTCAAAGAAGTAGACAGCAAATGTCAGGAGAACTGCACTGTCTTCATGCAGGAAGAGACAAGTCCTGTCATGGACATCCTGGCTGCAGACATCAATGGGTCCCTGATCACCATTCTAATGATGGATCAGAAGCTGGGCAGCACTGCTGATGAGCCGATAGAGTTTATGGATAACCAGCTTCCTTGTGACCTGACTTCCTTCAATGCAAGCCATGTGACGTGTCATATTAATGGCTTGACACCAGGACTCCACTACCTGGCAGTTGTTCATATAAGTAATGGGTGTGTTTTGGGGGGTAATGTTTCCAAGTACTTCTCCATCATACCTCAAGTGTTTCATTATTACCCTAAGAATTTCAGCATACATGGTGGGAGCCTCTTGGCTATAGAGGGCACAGCCCTGAGAGGGCAGAACACCACCTCAGTCTATGTGGGCCAGCAGGCCTGTCTGATTGTACACATCAGTTCTGAGCTCATCCAGTGCATCGCTCCTGCAGGAAATGGCTCTGTTGCTCTGGAAATAGAGGTGGATGGAATTTTGTATCACATAGGAGTCATTGATTATAGTGATGCCTTCACCCCAGAATTGATCTCCGTTTCTCAGATTGATGACATCTTAACCTTTGCAGTGGCCCAGATCTCAGAAGCTGTGAATATGGATATTTTTATTGGGATGTCCCCCTGTGTGGGTGTCTCTGGTAACAGCACGGTTGTCCAGTGCATGGTTCCTTTGCTCCCTGCTGGGCAATACCATGTCCGAGGATATGACCATTCCAGAGGGTGGGCCTCATCTGCTCTTGTGTTCACAGTGAGAGCTGCTGTTATTGCAGTGACTGAGAATTTTGGTAAGTCAAATAAAGGAGACAGAGCACTTTATGTAAGTGGACTAATACCTACTCTCACTTCTAGGAGATTGAAAATTCAGCATCATTCCATATGACAGGAAGAACCTGTTAACCCCAGTTTCTTCCTGAAGCGTGTCTTTGTGACACTTCAGTTATTAGCTTTTTTTTAATCAAGAAAATTGAGCACATTCTCTAAGTATTTGATTGTATTTTAGTTTAATACATTATCCATCTTTAATTTGTATTTTAAATTATTTTGTAAGGGATGATAATTTGATCACTTAAGTACATAAATATTTTACCTATTTTTAGATTTATATATCAATTTGTATTATTTAAAACTTATGGTTAATTATTTTGTAATATTTAACAGATGATTTCATATTGTACCAATAATGATCTAATGGTATAATACTACTGTACTGGTTGAACTTTTTGATACGTAGAAATTTGCCTGGCATTTTCTTCCAAAGATGGTTTTGGTTTCTTTCCATTTAAAGCCTTACTGTACTCCAAATAGCTCAGGTTTAACTGAATTAGACAGCGTGAAGGAAATTATTGCAGTAGACTTTTAGACTGGTGAGATATTTACCAGACCATTTCTTAGAACACATTAGCCTCAGATGGGTGGACTGAAAGGGAGATTAAGATTGGCTAATCCTCAGCTTCCTTGTTTGGTAAAGCAGTTTGGGCTGCATACTTAGTAAATTTCTCTTTATACTCCTTAAGACTGTATGACCTTTGGGATGAAAGATCACCATGAATTGCACTCTAAGTAGAAAACATTATTCTGGAGTTTATTAGGCAGCTTTGTAAGCATCTCTGCCCCTTCATGAGGTGAAAACAGTAGAGAATGGAATTGTATCTCAGAGTGAACTAGAGGTATGGATTAGCTTTATTCATATAAATATGCCCAAAATATGTAGTTAGCACAGCAATATTAATAATGACAAAAGAGACGAAATATGGGAAGTCTCAATCAGTACAAAAACTATTGAAAATAGGTTGTGATATAATCACGTTATGAGATTCTAGTTGTCAAAGTGAGCTGGATATGTATAGGTTTGGCAAGATATCTACGCTATTCTCTAAAGAATCAGTTTTCATAATAATATGTATGGGAGGATCCCTTTGTATCAAAAATATATATGCTTTGAAAATTCTGAAAGGAGTCATGAGAGACTTCATACTGGGGTACATTTGGGGAGTGCTGCAGGTAGTTGGGGGAGTTTGATTTACACTTTCAGTTTACGACCTTTTGTGTAAAAGTTATAATTTATCAATAATCATTATTTTCCTATGTGAAATAGTTACATTAAAAATAGAACCGTTAACCTCATAGGTTGTTGGATATGGTTGGTTCTGACTGCACCCTGGAGGCCAGAGCCTGGGTGGGGAGCAAACCGAGGCTATCAGGGAGGAGAAGCAGGATGTGGTTTCTGTGGGGCATATGAAGGAGACACAGCGAGAGAACAAAGGTTTGTGCTTTGACCTAAGAGGGATTTGCCTCTAAGATTGTGAGCTGTCATTCTGTCTTTAAAGGCTGTCTGGGAGGAAGCCTGGTACATGTGTTTGGAGCAGGGTTTTCTCCAGGAGCCATCTCAGCAGCCGTGTGCGGGGCTCCCTGCCACGTCTTGGCCAATGCCACAGTGTCTGCTTTCAGCTGCTTGGTTCGGCCCCTGGATGGTGAGTAAAAACGTCTCCCATTTATTTTTAAAGCATATAAATATATATTTGGATAATTCTTATTTTGTCTTTACTGTTGTGCTGACCATTAATTTCTCATTGTGTTCCTTGGAATAGAATTTCTCCATTCTTAATAAGAATTGGTAGGCTCTGGGACCATCTATTAAAATGATTCCTAATACCTTTTGTTATGGTTAGAGGTCAATGTTACATGAACACTGAAAAATTTATTACTTATGTTTTTTACTGCCATCATATGATATGGAACAGTATTTCTGATCTTGCAGTATTAGTTTCCATGATAGCTGTGGGCATCAGGGAGGAAACAAGCTCTTAGTCTTGTTCTGGTGATGAAGCTGTGGAAGACATCTGTTTTCTGGAGGTAGCGATAGGAAGGTGGAAACTATCAGTCTAGGCATCTTGAATTTTTATAAGCAAGAGAGCTAAGGTGCCATGAGAAAAATAGTATGGTATTGGCAGAAGAAAAACAGCACCAAATAACTTCCCCCAAACAAAACAAAAACAAAACAAAACAAAAGGAACAGAATAGAACAAAAACAACAAAAAGCCCAGATCTAAGGATCAATGGATCAGAATAGAAGATTCTGCAACAATTCCAGACACACTCAGCCATCAAAGCTACCCAACACCTTCACTGGAAGAAAGATAGCTTCTTCAAAGAATGATGCCAGAAAAAATGGCTTCCTACATGCCAAAGATTAAATGTAGAATTATATGTCTTACCATGCACTAAACTAAAATTAAGATGCATCAGAGATCTAAATATTAGCCTTCTGGGAGATAAAATAGGTAAAAGTCTTGAAAACCTACATGTAAGCAAAGTCTTTATGAACAAAACCCTGATCACACAGAAAATACTACAAAGAACAACTTGGATCTCATCATATTAAAAAGCTTTTGCACAACAAACGATAACTCACAGGATAGGAAAGTTTTTTAGTAGCCATTCTTCAGATGAAGGACTATTATGTAGTATATATAAACAACTCAAAAAAATAAGACCCCTCCAAATTTAAATACCCAATCCAAAAATGGATGTGTGAAGTGATAGACATTTTACAAATGAACAAGTTCCAACAGGCAATAAATGTATTAAAAAATTTCCAGCATTACAGGTCATCCATGAAATACAAATTAAAACAACCCTAAGATTCCATTTCATTCCAGAAAGAATGGCTACCATCAGGAAATCAGCCAAGTTCTCAAGAGATGGTGGGGAAAAAAATAACAGTTCTGCACCATGGCTGGAAATCAGTATTTATTCCTCATAAGACTGAAACTAGAAGTTCCATTTGACCCAGCTATTCCCCTTCTTGTCATCTTCCCGAAAGAGCCAAAAGCATGGTATTACAGTGAAGTATGCATAGTCATGTTTATAGCAGCAAAATTTATAATAACTAAATCCTGAAAACAACCCAGATGCACATCTACAGATGGATCAATATAGAAAATGCATTTTTATACAATGGAGTATTACTGTGCTATAAAGAAGGATAAACTTGAGACATTTTTAGGTGACTGGGAAGCACCTTGAGCCCATACTTTCAAGTGAAATAAATGGGACACGCATGTTTAAATATTATATTGTTTTTCTTGTGTGGGAAAATGAAATCACAAATAAGGATCCAAATGGATGATAGATACTGGAAATAGAAAAAATGTTTAAATGGGATGGGAATGAGGGAGGAGGGAGGAGGGAGGAAGAAGGGGAGGAAGGGAAAAAGAAAAAGTGAACAGAAAGAAAAATGGAAACAAAACTTTTGTAAATAAGGGAGGGAAGAAAGATTGAAGGGACGGGAGAAGAATGGTGAAAAAAAGAAGGGTCAAGTTGTATTATATACAAATTCCCTACAATGAATGTGATCATTATGTATATCAAAAGTATAACAATAAAATTAAGTAAAAGTAAAATCTTCACATAAAAACATAATGATAGTGCAATACTTTAAAATGCACAGCCATCACAAAAATTGTGGCATGGAAAGCTTTGCCTTCATGGGTGGAATGTCTACAGAGGAAGGTCCCCAGCTTTGGGGTTCATGGCACATGGTAATTATCCATTTGAGCTTTAGGGGGAAAATGACCTTTATTACTACAGGACCTTGTACTTGGCATATCTCAGAGGTATACAGGTTATTATCTTGTTTGCATTATTCTCCATTTCTTATCTTTTGCTCTTAAAACCATTGAGACATATGCTTTCAGAGTTACATTCCTAATTCTTGGTCTGGAGTTGAATTTACTTAAGGCATTTGCAAACTGATGAAAAATGATTTCATGTGAACTTGGGAAAATTCTGTATTAGCTGACAGTATTGTGATGGCAATTTACTCTGTGTTGTCTTAGATAAGAAGGGGAAAGTGGGGAGAAGCTATTGTACTAGAACTACAATAGAAAAATCAATGAGATTTCAAGACCAGAAAGATTGTGATATATTGGAAGTATTTAACTCCCAGGAAAAATAACGAAATTGTTCTATTTAAAAAGATTTGCATTCTAGAGAAAAGAACTCAAAATTCCTTGGTTTTTCAGTTGGAAGTGTAACTCTTAGGATTACCACTAGGTGTCACTAACCACCCATCAATCGTGAAAAATCACATTTTGGGAAATGGATCTTTCAACCCTGTATTTTCCCTTTTCATAAAGGAGTCTGCAAAAGACTTTTAATCGTTTTGTCTAGAGGTGGAGAGGAACTTGTGTGATCTAGCTCAAATGTTCCTTGCTGAGGATCCAGAGGAGAGTGGGAGATTGTTTCGCCTCTGAAACTGGATAAAATATTTTGAGTACATGATTAGTTGTTTCCTCTTTTCTTTTTTCTCTCTTTTGAGTTAGGCCTGTAGTTTTGTGGATGTTGAATAGTCACAGGGACTTTGTCTCATGCATCACTAAAGATGACTAATAATTCTCTTTTTCAGATAGGATTGCATATTATCCACCTCACTGAGATTCTGTTCCAAAGCTTGTGGCCTCTGAACCCAGTCCGTGGGGCAGACCGTGCTCCCCAGTGCATCCGCTGTAGCACTGTTAGAAATGTAGATTCTTGGGACTCACAGAATCCGAAACTTTCCAAATAAACATTTTTGCATTTCTTTTCTGCTCCCTCTCTGAAATTCTACATTCTTGCCTTGTTTGAAGCCCCAAAGCAGGTAGTTAGTTCTGAGTAGTCAGCTGCTAGCCGCATCGTAACACGTGGGTGTATATCCTGGTCCCAAATTTGTTTTAAAAATTACACGGTTGTCCTGCTAGTTTATAATCTTTCTTTGCCAATGCTAATTCCAATCTCTCTGTATATTTCTAACATGGCTGTGCACAGCGAGACTGTTCCCATATTTATAGGATCTATTTGTTTTTCTTCTGTGGTTTATTGTCTTGCTCTTTTCCTTTGGTGTTCTGTTTATTTCTGTTAACTTCTTTAATTTACCAAGGTCACTTTGAATTCTGACCCTTGCTTTGAATTTTATTCTTCAGTTTGATTTTGCACGATAGAGTGATATTTCACATTCCAGGTCAGAGGTGGTGTTTTTGAACCCAAACTTTCCCAGTTTAGCCCTAACGTGTTTCTTTTTCATGAGTGGGGCAGGAGGCGTTAACCATAGACGGAGCTCAAAAAAGTTCCTTTGCTACTTTTGCTAGTCTTTACTTTCCCCCCAAATTATACTTCTAACCAAAGAAGAATTTTATTTTTTTATATAATGAGTTGCTAAAACACCCTGTTAGATGAAACTAATACTTTGCACTTGTTTAAAATGAGCAAGATCTTTGATCTTTGGGTGTCTTGCATTTATACCTTGAATTATACCAAATGACTTTTTCATGGAAACTTTAACTTTTCCACGAGGCATGAAAAGCTAAAGCGATTAAGGTCACAGAGCTATTTAGTGGCAGAACTTTGAATAAAACCCATGGATTTTGATCCTCAGCCCTGGGTGCTTTTCATAATCCACCTTGTCAATTTGCATCCACTTAATCACCTATAATGAATTCATTATTTTATAGGTGTTGAGCCTGTTTTTATTTGCCTTGGGGCTGACTAACCGGCAAGTTCTCAGGTTTGTCTATCCACAGGGGAATCCTACTGCCAGTCATTTCTCTTGTTATCGTTCATTCAAAATGCAGTCACAGAGATCTTCCTGGGTGTCAGGTGCTTTGGAAGGAGCAGGGACGGTGAAGAGATTAGAGTGTGGCTGCAGACTGAAGCCTCTTTGCCTTACGCTCACCTCCTGTGGCCTCGGCTGCCAGCACAGGGATGAGGTGGGCAAGTCTGAGTTCAAGGCCGCAGGCTATGACGTTTGTTGCCTACCTGTGTGAACCTGCTAGCTGCAGAGGTAGCAGGATGAAGCGATTTTTATTTTTTAGATATTTTTCAGACACAATTGCTTGCAAAACATCTCATGCAGAAATTTTTTCAACTTCTTGTTAAAGACTATCATCACTTTGCCTTATTGATGCTTTTGACTTGCATCCTATAACTCAGAGTAAAATGGTTTGAGGTCTAAAAACTTTTGAGCACTTGCCTTTCCTGTCTATATTCACAGTCATAATTATACGGCAATTTAAGAATTTCTCTGAATCAAGATGTCCCATGAACAATGAAAAGTCTAGTCACAAAGATAATAGTAGCCAGTCAGATGGTGGTGCACACTTGTAACACCAGCACAGGGGCTGGGGATTTAGCACAGTGGTGTAAGCGCCTGCCTTGTAAGCAGGCAGTCGTGAGTTCGATCCCCGGTACCGGTAAAAATGAAAAAGACAAAAAACAAAACAAAACAAAAAACAAAACAGGAGAAATACCAGCACGTAGGAGGGTGAGGTGGGAAGGCTGCCAGGGGAGGGGGTCAGTCTGGAATAGGTAGTGAGTTTAAGGCCAGTGTACACTGCACAAGGAGATCGCGTCTAAAAGGACAGGGAGGGAGAGAGGGATGAAGGAGGAAGGGAGGGGATGTATATAGATAGAGAGAGGGAGAGGAAGAAGAAGGAGAAAAAGGAGGAGGAGAAGAAGGAGTGGAAAAGAAAAAAGAAAAGCTAACGATGGTTATAACTTAAAGGGAATTCATGCCCACAATATATGAACCAATAAGAAAAGGTAATTGGTCAGATGACAGAATGGGGATTTTGAAGGAAGATGATATGAATTGCTACTACATGAGAATATTTTTCAACATAAAAATTAACAGTGAAAATGGAGATTAAGGCCCCGTTGAGATATTATTTTATGTACTTTTGAATCGGTGAAAGTAGTCAGTAATTCCCAGCGCCGACGGTTGTGCGGGACGAAGGCAGCGGTGCACACGGGACGCAGGATGGGGCACCTGCTTTGGGACACAGCGCGGCGCTGTCTCCTAACGCTGAATTTGTCCGCACCATTTGAAAACCAGCTCTTTTCTTATTAGTACATGTGTGCAGTAGAGAATGATTATGTTCCTCATGTGGAATTGGTACACGTGCATGGCATAAATTGATTCTCCTTTCATCTCTTTCCTCTGGCCTCTCCTCTCCCTCCATTAAATCTCATTTGTTGATTCTTGCTATTATTTCTTGTGCAATTGGGGTTCTGATCAGGGAGTTCCTGCCTATACTTATGTGTTCAAGAGATGAAAACAAGGCATTTCTTTTATATCTTAACTCTAGAGAAAAATTTGTATGTTTTTATAGTAGCAAATATTTGATCGAAATTCTGTTGGTAAAAGCATGTACACACTGTGATACTCTCAGGCCGAGTCCGTACTGAACAGCAGTGAGAATGCGTCCACCCTAGTCACAAGCGGCAGTGGGGGTCAATCTTAGAAACCTGACATTGAACAAGAAAAGCAGGTTCATGAGTTTATTGTCATGAATTATATTTTAGAAAAGTCAGAAACAAAACTCATTATCTCCTGTTTAGTAATACAAACCTGCTGGATGAAGCTGTTTGTAAAATGCCAAATAATTATTTCTGAAGAGGAAGAAGAGAATGAACCTGGGCCAGAGCAAGTAGATTTAAAAGTGTAATAAAGAGTAAGTTTGAGTCTTTTGTAGGAAAAATGTTTGCACCTGGAGACCATAATTTTAAGTGAAATAAAAAGACACACAAGCTTAAGTATTGTTTGGTTTCCCTTCTATGGAAGATCCAAACTATAAATAAAAAGCAAGATAAAAGATAGATAATAGGAAAGAATGAGATAGATCTTTCACAAATAGGGGATACAGAGATGGAGGAGGAGGGAAAGAGAGAAGGACAGGGGATGCAAAAGAATTGAGATGTGATGTACGTACTAACTCCAACGAGGACTCCAATCGTTAGGTACGACAACAATACATTAATGGAAAATGAAAATTGAACAAGTGTATTATAACAGTTTTAAATTTTGTGTTGTCTGGCATATTCACACCAGTGCTTTTCATGACCATGATTTAATGTTATTTATATTTTTTTCTGTTGTTATACACACACACACACACACACACACACACACACACACAAACACTACCTTTTCAAAAAGTAAACTGATAACTTTATTTCCCTCTTGGCTAAGGAAGGGCAACATGGACCTCATTCATGAAACAGCAGGGGGCCTTCAGTGCCTTCTTGGGTTCACCGAAGCTAATGGTGACTGTTTTCCAGTGTCCTTGGCTTTCCTTTGCGGTCTGAAGAAAGAAGAGGACGGTTGTGAAGCTCCCGTCCACACCTACGTGCGGTGTGACTTGACTGTCACTGTGGGAACACAGACACTGGCTGGGTCCTGGCATTACCTCTACACTTGTGAAGAGGGTTCCCAGTGTGTCCCTGTGCCAGACTGGTGGACAGAGCCGGGATTTCCATCCTTTTCAGGCCTCTTCATCAGGTAACTCTGTCTTGGTCATCGTCCCTGACCTTCCCTCCAAGCCCACAGCCAGTGGCCGGCAGAGCACAGGCTGGGTGGACGGGGCCGGGGAAGTGGGGGCTGCCCCTGTGTTGGGGGGGGCCTTCAGTCATGGATTCCAGTCAGCCCGCATATCAAAGCATCTCCTGTCTTTTTCAAGTGTTCAAGAGAACATCTGAAAAATCTGCCCAGTAAACAGCTCACTTTGTTCTTGCTTAGATTTTAATATTTATCTTCTGATCCAAGGCAACATCTGGTGAATGCCAATGGGGAAAAAGATTAGACATTATGAAAAACAGAAGGCTTTTTTCCTTTTCTTTCCAAACAGATTCACAAATATGAAAAAAAGTCATAGAGAAATCCAGCAGATTGCACAATGTTTATTCAAAGGAGGGGGCATTGCACAGCTGAATTACTGTAATCTAGGATTTAGAAGCCATAAGCTCACAAGGATTTTTTGAAGTTTAAAAAAAAAATCTAAGAAATAAATACCACAACTTTCCAAACTAAACCGCTTCTCCAAACGAAATTTTAAGAAGTGTGATTGTGTTGTTGGCTTTGGATGGCCTTAATTTCATCCAGCAGTTCTTTTCCGGTGCAGGTGGTATTGCAAGGCTGAAAATTGCCCTTTATTTCTTATCTAGATAGAGTGATTATTTAATGAAGGCTTAGTTTTCTTTTAAAACATAAAAACATAGGGCCAATTCCAATGGGAGAGAAACAACCAGTTCTTTCTATGGAGGTACGATTATTTGGCGTCCTGAGACACTTTGCTGTAAAAGGAACTTGACATTGGAATTTGGTGTTTAGACAGAGGAAAAGACAAACCTTCTTGGCAAGTTGCTGTCTACAACATCTTCAAGAACTTTGCTTGGTTGGTGTAGGAAATGGGCCGCTAGGTTGTACTCGGGTGAGATCGAATCTCAGAACTCACTAATGCTGGACATTGAGAAGGTGTCAGCAATTCCTGCTCCACTGAATCCAGAGACTTCGCCTGAACTATTGCCTCGGATTCTCCCACGCCCTTCTGCATTGCTCTAGGAAGTGGCTGAGGCAACCGAACCTCAGACCCACTAAGATTTGCACCCTTATCTGTCAGTGTCATTTTAAAAGGCTCACTCCGTTCTGGCTATTGCAACAGGCAAAAGTGGGTGTGTTTACCTGAGTACAAGTGAAGTGTCCTATGATTTGAACAAAGTCTATGCTTAGTGTTGATGAGGGTGGGGAAAACCCACACTGTGCTTTGTGGTTGAGGGGAAGGCAAGTTAGCATGGACTTTAAAGCATGATATGGGAAAATATTAGAAAAACCCTTAGAACTTTCCATATTCTGTAACTCAGAAATTTCTCTCCTGTGATTTTAATAAGGCAGATAGGAGTGTACAGTATTTACAGACTACCAAGTTCTTTGAAGTTTTAGATACACAAAATATTTAAAATAAGTTTAAATATAAAAGAATGCATCCAAATGATATAACACTAAGAAATCTTTAAAAATTATATTTAACCAAATAGGAAACAAGATTTAAGTTCACAGAATAATATGTTATCTTGATCCCATTGTTATATTTAGTATATGCATTTATGCACCCAGAGATGATTCCGGAAAAGACTGGAAGGGTACACTCTATGAGGCTGAGAGTGCCTATCTCCAAGTCACTGAAGTACTGATCATATTTTCTTCACTGATTTTTTTTATGTATTTCTCTAGTAAATATGTGTTGATTTAGCAACTAGAAAACACAGTCTGTATCCTACATGGATCATGTACCAGGTAGCTTGCTCGGTTTTCCTATGATTATGCTGGTGGACCCAGAGGATTAAGATCTTTTCATGGAATCTACTTCCTCTAAATGCTTTATCATTCTGCCAGCACTAGCACAATGGCTTTGTGTCGTTTGCCAGAAGTAAACATGATCTGGGTGTAAGTGTGTCCAGGCCATCACCTATCTGTCCTGCCATCATCCACCCATCTTTTGAAAGGTACTCAGTGTGCTGTAGGTGTTGTGCCGGGTGCTGGTAACTCAATAATGGTAAGACAGGAAACTCCCTGCCCCCAGGAGTAGAGGAGAAAGGCTATAAACCAGATGATATATCATTTTAAGCACTCTAAAATAGTAGAAAATGGGGCTACTTTGGGTGGCAGGCTCAGAGTAACATCTCTGAAAGAACCTCTTGGAAGAATTCAAATTCTCTTAAAATTTGGGCATATGTCTGTGTATGTGTATACATATGCATGTGTGTAGACCTCACCTAGATTATGCATACGTATCTATTTTTACTTAAATATGTTCAACTATATTTCTTAATCTATAAAATTACTGGGGCATTAAAGATAGAACAGTAGCTAATTATTGATAACTTTGAAATTCTGTAAATGTTAGTCACTTTTTGATATCCTGATGTCTCAGCTAATTTTGATTATGGGTTTTTAAAGAAAAGAATCTCTAGTAAATTAATCAGAGATGAGTTTAAAAAAAGTCTTGGCTAACAGAAAGGGGTCTAACTTTGACCGGAGTGAGATGAACATGGCTGGGGTGGACAGTGTGTTCCCGCCAGGCACACACATGGCGGGCAGAGTGGTCACCCGCTTCACTCTCACATGTGTCAGTGGAGCCCAGAGACAGAGAAAGTGATGGGAATCATTGTGAACCAACTGAAAAGGGAAAAAGGGAGAATTTTGAAAATGCAGGCTGTTAAGTCTGATATTATCCCTGGCAAAATCCTAGGAAGAGTTTTTAACCAGGTGATTTGTGAGCATAGCAGTGTTGGGAACCAAATCACAGCCATGATGATGATATGATAAACTAACTTCGCTTTTTGTTTTTGGATAGGTTTGTAAATGATTTATGATGTCAATATTAAACGAGATTTCCTCCAATTATTCTAAGAACCTCTCTACCCGCAGTAGCAACAAAATGTTCTAGGTGCAAAGCCCAAAATGGCCTAAAACAAACCTCACATTACTTTGGAGTCAGATGTTTTAAAAGTCTATTTTGACTTTCATATTATTCCACCATATTGTCATATTTGCATTTTAATTTAGAAGCTATATTACTTGTTTTTCTTTTCTGAGTTTGTATGACTGACATTGCAGGAGTGAGTGTGGTGCTTACCTGGAGGTTTGGTCAGCAGCAGGGAGCACAGCTCAGATACCCGGGGGCATAGCTGTGAAGTTAACAGCAGTGAATGTTAATCTGCATATGTACATTTCCACAACAGTGTCAACACCACACTCATCCCTGAAGACTGTAACAAAAGGTTCCTTTATTAGATGTTTATTATGTACCAGGTTCTATGCTAATCTACTAATCCTTTTTTTCTCCCTGTATTGAGGACTGAGCCCAGAGCCCTCATGCTTAGCTAGATTCTCAGCCTTTTTAAATTTTGAGACAGGGCCTCACTGAGTCACTAATTTGTTTAAGCTGGGCTCTAACTTTTTGTCCTCCAGCTTCAACCTCACAAAGTGTTTGCCGTATGGTGTGTGCCACCATACCCAGCTGCTAGTACTTATTTTTGATACCCAGGATCGAACTCGTGACCTTGTGCTTGACAGGCAAGCGCTTACACCACTGAGCTAAATTCTGGTCCCCTGCTAGTATTTTTTATTTCTTCATTTTCCTTTGCTCAATACCTCTACAAAATAAGTACTCAATTATTGGTAACTCGAGTTTACAAACATGGAAACCAAAGAGTAATATTTTCAGTGTCATATGGATGGTAGGGACCAGTGTTAGGATTCAAATAAAACGGATCTGCTTCCAAACCTAGCCTTCCCATGCTAGTGCTTCTCACAAAATCGTCCGAACAGATACAGCATGATGAAATCTTCAGGCACTTGCAACTCTGAGACTTTTATCACTGCTAGCCTCAAATAAGGATGAGGGATACAAAACAGTCATAATATTAGGTGCCATCTGTTGGAGGGTTCACACAAGGAGACACCAGAGTCCCCAGTAGTCACCCTGAATTTTGCTCTTTTGGGCTCCATGAGGATAAAATTCCAGCACGCCTCATAAGTTTGGAGGACAGTAGGTATGGAAGTCGTGCCTTAGGAGGACACAGAGCTGAGAATATTTTAACACGAAGAGAGGATTAAGTGGGGAGATGTGGTGCTCATTATTTCTAGCATGTGGTGGGAGAAACCATTCAACTTTGATTTGAAAAAAAGCTACAGTTCCACATGATTCAAAGTTTCTCAACTGATGACCTTTCTTTTTTTTAACCTTTTCTTCTGTCTTTCCTGGTCTACCTGTGGATTTACCATCTCCATCCCTGACAGTCAGTTAGGAACCAGTATTTGAAAATTAGAGAGTTCTGCTCTGGGAAGGAGATCTGGCTTCTGGTCTTGGTGCTGCATAATTTTGTATTTGACTATATACAAATTTTTTGTTCTCTTTGGGTATATATTTTATAGCTCTACCTAATTTACATGTTGAAATGAGATTATCTATATGAAACTGATGCAAAGTATAAAATATCAAGCATTATTATTGCTAATAATATTTTAGTTAGTTGCAACACTGCCTAAAGCCAGGATTATTCTTGAATAAATATCACACCTGTTGGGGATGATTCTCTTCAATGTCTCTCATCTCCTCTAGGATCTAGACTTTCTGTGATGGTACATTGATGTTTTTCATTTTAAATCCAGTCTAGTTTCTCCCCTTAAAGCAAAAGGACTTTTAAAGTGAGTGGCAGGTACTATAACTGGCACATATATCGAATCTCCTTAGTCTGGGCTGTTACGTAAGTTTAATTAATTTACTAAGTTAATGTTCCACTGCTAGCAACAGAGCCTCATTGCCATCAGCTGGGGAGAGGGAATTGAAAGCCTAAATGAGCTCATTTTTTCACAGTTGGAATTAGAGACCAGTTAGCCAGTTGTGTGGGTTTTCCAATTTCTCCATCTGCCCTGGGGGGATTGAGGCAATTCACTCCCCCAACACTAAGTGTGAGTAAAATCAGGAAGACTAAGGGGGAAAAGAAAAAGATCAAAATAAAAACTCTGCCCAGCATCAGCTTCCATACTGAAAGTATTGTCTGTTTCTTGCTTGTTGAGTTGGGTTCGTGGAACCTTTTGCTAATGTTCCTAATACATCTGGAAAATAAGAGAGGCCTCAGTGAAAGATATTTACTATGTGCATTTTCATTGCAGGGTGAACAGATAAAGGAAAAACAAATAAACAATAAAAGAATGGAAACAAAATTACAGAAATTTGCAAAATTTGACAAATGGTGGTCTGTAGTTGCCACAAGCTAATGGCTTGCAATGATTAATAAGAGTAAAAATAATTGCATTTCATTAAGATTGATGACACCCCATTTAACCTCCCCTCTCGTTTCAGCCCTAAAGTGGAAAGAGATGAAGTTCTCATCTATAATAGCTCCTGTACCATTACCATGGAAACTGAGGCAGAGATGGAGTGTGAGACGCCTAATCAGCCAATTACCACCAAGATTACTGAGATACGGAAAAGCTGGGGCCAGAACACTCAGGTATAATCAAATCTTTTTTACAGACTGATTCAAACAGCTCAAATTAAATTTGTAATATTGTGTACATTAAAAAAACAATTTAGTCCAAATGGCAGCGATATATAATATTAAATGCTCTCAAACTTTGAGGAGCTGGCCTAATGCACAACATCTGAATTCGTAGTTAACTATGGTTAATCATATACTTTCTCAAAAATAAATGAGTGCTGCCTGGGCTCTTTTAAAGCAAATTCTGGACAGATAATGTTCTCGGCATTTTGTTCTGTTTTCTGGATGTGCGTTGGGAAGGGGCTCTCTCTGTGTTTTTTTTTTTTTTTCCCCTTCATAAAATAAATGGCCCACAATTTAACCAGGCCTTTCTGGAAGACTTCCAAGTCACTGAGCCACCCTCTGCATGCAGGGCAGCACTGTCACTGGTCTGTCTGGTTCTTTTCTCCCATAGGGGAGCGTTGTGCAAACCTTAGAAATGACATCAGGGAAGGACAGCCCAGCAGCTGAACTTCAGTTCCTCTGTCTGGAACCATCACACCACTCCCTGTGGGTGTCTTTTCTAAGACTGTGTCCTCAAGAGCCACATTGGAGGCTCCATAGCCTCCCCAGTGAGTTTGTGAAGACTGAAATCAGACGCTAAGAGCACTATGTATCAGATAATCTTTTACAATTCCCCAGGCTTCTCACGGTACACAGACAATAATGTTTATTGAGCATCTACTCCCCTAGGTGCCTTTCTCTTTATGAAAGCAATTCTTAGATTTTGCCCTTTTTGTCTCTTTTATTTGGAACGAACGTTTATTAAGTGCCTATTATGTGCCATACACTAGTCCAGATTCTCTCAGAAGTGTTACGTCAGTCGTGCCATCCTAATTCAAAACCGTGTATTTCCTGGGTTTGTCATCTGTTATTTGATTTGGTTGTTTTTTGGCATAACTTGCACTGGTGCTATAAATGTATGTAACTACAGAAAAATATTTTCCCCTTGTCCTTTCTAGACCTGTTTCTGCCCATCACCTGGCCCCTCGGGTTTCTGTTCTTTCTGTCACCTCTCAGTCTTACCCTCCTCTTTACGTTCCTTGTAGGTAGTCGTCCTGGGCTGTTCCTTCCTGTTTAGGATGCTCCATGCCAAGGCTGTTTCCTTGCTATTAGCTGCTGTAGTTAATTCCTCATTTCTGGAACCATCATCCCTAATCTTAGATCCACTTGACTCCGGGCTTCTTTCTCAGCAGCCAGCTCTCAGAGATGTTTTGTAAGTTCTTTGTAGTGAGGCAGGACTGCTGTAGGGCACAGAGTAGTTGTTAAGCCTCTCTGGGCCTCAGTTGGTGTCTGGCGGATAATAGCGCAGTGCTGTTGGGATGCTCATGTGAGTAAATGCTGGTGAAATCCTAGGACAGGCAGGTCGGCAAAGCGGTGACCTGTGTGAGCTTTGGAGATTACTCAGGTCACTGGCTACCTGAAAGGAGTTCATGCAAATTATTTAAAACTTCTGTGCCTCTGTTTTCTTTTCTACTTTCTTTCTTCTTTTTCTTTTCTTTTTTCTTTTCTTTCTTTTTTTTTTTTTTTTTTTGACATGATCTCACCATGTAGTGCTGTCTGGCCTTAAACTCACATAGCCCAGGATGGCCTTAAATTCCTGGTAATCTTCCTGTCTCAGCCTCCCAAGAGCTAGGATTAAAGGTATGCATCACTATGCCCCCCTTCAGTTTTCTAATCTATAACATGAGGATAATTTTAGTCACCACCTGATACAGTTGTGAGGCTTGTAACATACAAACCACTGACACTGATCTTACTCATAGTGAATGTCCAGTGTTGGCATTATTAGCAATGCTAGTTTACTAGCAGTCATTAACAAGTGATGTAGAATTATTTCTGTGTAATGCTTATTGTTTTAATGAGATTATTTCACTTCTTAGATTTCATTTGATTTTTCATCATCCTTAAACTGAGTTTTTGCAGGTTAAATGCCTCACTCATTTATAAATATAGAAAACATGATTATTTAGTTCTAAAGAAAATAATATGGAAAAGGGGTTCTATCGTTAAGTGAGGTCATATCCAGAATAGAGAAGCTCAAAATAGTATACACCCAAAGTCAGTTCATCACAGTTACAGGAAGTATTGAATACTATCTTGACCAACTATCTAGTTTCAGAGATAAATTAGCTAAGATTCTTCCAGAAAGTGGTGACGTGTTGGTCACATAGCTTGTTATTTGATAACATAAGCCAAGCAACCTTAAATCATTGTGGGGGAAGTAAGCCATTTAATCTTCAGAAAGCAGGTAGCATCTCTGTCAAAACACACTATTCCAGTACCAGGGTGTGGGAAACTCCAGTCCTGGGGAGGGAGAAGCAGAGTAGTTGTGGTTTCTAGATACGATGAGGTTGTACTCGAGTGTGCCAAGGCCACAGTTTAAAGCAGGCTATTGGGAGTGGAGAGTTCATCAAGTGAGCCAGGAGGACACAGGGAACTGTATCAGATTTGCAGCAAACCATTAGCATTTAAGACCTGTATTAATCCTGTTAGGGCCCTAAAGAGTAAAACGAGGGTCTTGGGCACAATTCCTACCACACTGACCAGATCTGTATGGTGGGAGTCAGGGAAAACTGCAGCTAAATACACCCCAAAGTGGGAAATTGTTGGTTCTAGAATCCATGCTCAGGTGGGGTGGCTTGGTCTGCTCCAGGAATTGTGTATAATGAAGTCTATTAGTACAGGGTTCATAACCAAATTACCATATAATTGATCAATTGCCCAGTCCAGGATGCTTCTGAAAGTGTAAGATCTACAGTTAATAATTAAATTTGGTTAAGTCACTCTTGCTGGGATGTGTATATACACTATTTGGGCTTGTGAACAATTTGTCAACCATACGTGATACATGGTAATATTTGCTTATGTTTGGATGTTTAATTTTACTTCTTGGCCTGGGAATAACATGCCACCTTGGTTAGAATGAATGGTTTCCTTATTTGGGTCTAGGTCTGGGGAAGATTTTTACTGAGTGGTGCTTAATCAGTTATGGAACCCAGGACTAGGACCTTCTTCCAAGTTCAAGAACTTCCCATGTGAGAACCTTAGTACACTGATTCCCCAGAATAGATTTAACAATGAAAGTTTTCCAAAGGCAAATAATTCATAAAAGCTGGGTTTAAAAAGTTACAGACACACACATGCATGCATGTACTCATTGTGTTTATCTATATACCTTGGGAACACCATGAGAGACTTGGAGAAGAAGAGAAGTAGAAGGGATACAGAATTGTTTTTCCTACCAGAGGATATTTGAAAGCATTTAATACATAAATGCATAATGTGAATTTCTATGGAGAGCTGTGGTATGGAATATTACTCGAATTTACTCACCTGTGGAACTAATTAATCACAGAATTTCTCATGGGTCTGGAGGCTATTCTGTTGCCCTCACTTGGGAAGCGTTGCCTTAATCATGCCTTTTCCCCTATCACAGAGTGCAGGCTCTGCCCTGTCATTTTCAAATGGGTCCATCAATTGAACTCTATTGAAGTAATGGCACTTGTAATTGTGCTATGAAGACCAGATAAGGTTAAGATATCTAGGGGATCAGAGCAAAGATATTTCTGCTATAGAAACCAATATGTACACAACACTGAGACAAAATTTCCCAGGAATAGTGCAAGGAGCATGGTGCATGTGCAGGATGCCTATGAGCTGCAGGTGGGCTAGGATCAGATTATGATTGAAGGTTAAATGTTTGGTCCCTCAGTTCAGCAGGTGACAAATAATCCTGAAGAAGCCACTGCATGATCAGAGGGGTGCCTTCATCACAATAATCTGGTAGCTGGCTATGGGATGATTTGATTGGTAAATCCACAGGAAGCTGAAGATTCCTATCCAGGTGAGACGTAATTGAAATAGACAAACAGCAGAGGGATTGGAGAGTGGGGACACTTTTGATAGTCAAGGCTTGATAACTGAAATAAACACATATGGATATAACTATACAAATACACATTTGTACATAAAGCTGTTTTTGTGGGATTTGTATTATTTTTCTAACTTGCATTTAAAACATGTGTACAGATAGTCCTCTTTTAACAACCTTCCTGTTAATGATTGTTCAGACTAATGACTGAGGGGTGCTAGTCAGGCTCACACTCCACTGGTTGGTCTTAGGATCTGCATTCAGACTTAGGACACAGGAATGTGAGCGGCAGTACAGCCTTATGGTAGCTTCCACAGTACAGTACTGTAAGTTTTGCTGAGTGTACTGTGCAGTAATTGTTATAGTTTTATGTTATGCTGCACATAGCACTATAAGAGTTATGCAAATAAAAGCAAAGTCATCAAATTGGAATTTCCTTTATTTCTTTGTTCTGAGTACTGTAATGTATATACTATGTACAATTTCTCCTGTAAGGACCAATGCACTGAACAACCTAGTCACAAGAACATTACTTGATCATTAAATGACCAATGTCTGTATAGCATTCTATAATGTTGGCTACATGAGAAGAGGGCCTTTGTTTTTCACTGGTATTTCCCCAAAGCTTAGAATTATACCTGCTCTAACAACAGGGTTCAGTTAAACTTATTGAATGAGTGATTAAATGAATAAGTATGATCTAAGAAGAATAAAACAAAGACAATTTGCATCACAGAAACCTAGAAATGCTTTGAGTTTAGAGAAAATTAGACACCAGAATTGGACATGAGGCAGGGCACTAGGATGAGGGGCTTGCTTAATGTCTGTAGAACATGGGAAAGCTACATTCCAGGAGACTCTTCCCAGATACCTAAGTCAGACACCTATTTCTATTTCACCCTCTAGGAAGCAAGTACAAAATTTGGAGATAAAATAAACTAGTGAGACAGTAGTTAGGTTCTTGATATCAAGCAAAGGAGAGATTGGGAATAGGGAATATAACGGATATGTACAAGATACACAGATCATGTGATTCCTCCTGAAAAAGAAGTCAACCTATCCATCCTACATCAAATTTTTGTCATTCACCCAACTTCAG